TTTATCTTTACAAATATCGATAGCTTTTCGCTAACTTAAAAAAGCTAGCGATCCTCGTGGCCAAATCGCTGTCTTTATCGTTACGATTATAGCTAGCTATTCGCTGGCCGATTTCCCACCGGGTAATAGATTTAGAATAAACTTTGTCAGCTAGATGGAAAACATTGTGCAATGGGCTACTGAATCAGATTAGTGATGGTAATTGTTAATTAAAATTAAAATTAATTATCACTTTAATGTTATAAATTTTTTTTGGTATTTTAATTTTAAGCAGCAATGAAAAACTTTCATGTATCTTCCAAGCATTGTGACGAAAAGTTTTTTTTGTTCACCATGACAATAGTAAGTTTTGTAGATCATTTAAACGATTTTATATCATTATATCATTGATTCATTTGAATGATTGTATATTATTATATCATATAAATCATTGATTCATTTAAATGATTGTTTATTGTTATATTATTATATTGCTTGATATTATTTTATCATATAAATCATTTTAATACTTATTTAGTTGAATAAAAATTGATAGAAAAAATTATTTAGTTCGATTTTTATCATGTAAAAACTAAATGCTTATTTCATTGCAATATTTATTTTAATATTTTTAACAATAATATTTTTTATTCTTTGCATATATATTACTTATATATATTATTTATATATTCATTTTTATTATTAAATATAAAAAAAAGTTACATAATGTAATTTTTATTATTTGTTAATATTATGCTTCTCTTTATTAGGATCCAACCCCAACTCTGAAATTTGGAGATGCTATAAATTGATGGAGATGCTATAAATTGATGGAGATGCTATAAATCCAATACGAATAAATTTTGTAGTTGGCGGGGTGACACTAAGCAATTATGTTCCTGATGTAACTTGTGGTTTGGGTCTTGTCAGCTGTTCATATTATATTTATGATATAGCGTATCCAAAGAAACTTCAAAAAAGTCTTTTCTAGAACATTCTTCGAACGAAGTTGTAAACTTCCTGGCAACATTCAAAACATTGCTAGTTTTTTGAACTTGTAATATTAAATTATAAAAAAATATACTTATGTTATTAATTTGTTTCAAAACCTTTTTTTAAATCAAGTTTTTTTTTTTTGAACTCTCTAATTTTAAGTTGTTTTTATTGAGAATTTTTTTCTTTTTTAACTGATATAATAGTATAATATTATGCTCCATAGTACATAAATCCTTCTATATAGAATACTATTTATATGTAACATTATATATTTATGTAATTTATATAAATACATATCAAAAGCATATATAAATATAGTAATAAATTAATAGGTTTTAGTTTTTGTATTAAATTGAAATCTCTGGTCGACGACTATTCTACATAACTCATAAAGCTAAGTTTAGTAAAATAATCTTAAATGCATTAAAATATGCGTTTCGTTTTAAGCATTTTGACATAAACAATCACCTTAATCGTTATTGCTGGAAAAACAATTTTTGGTTTTACGGCTTGTCCCAATAAACGAACTAATTTTGATTATTCAGAAAACCAAATAGCGTCGGTTTTCTAGAAAATCAAGTTAATTTGATTATTTGGATGTTCAAATTGGTTTTCTAGAAATCCAAATTATTTTGGTTTACTGAAAAACCAAAATAAATTGGTTTTCTAGATATTCGAATTTGGTTCGTTTGTTAGGACAAGCCGTAAAACCAAATTTGGTTTTTTGAAAAACCGATTTTCGTAAAAGTGTAGTTTTTTCAATTTTTGGTGCTGATTTAGTTTAATAACTTCTTAAAGTGACAAGACAAAGTCTACTATATTAAAATCCGTAAGTACTAAAAAAAGTCTTATTTAAGATTTGAATTGCGAAAACGTTTTTTTTTTTTTTAATATTAACAATATACTGAAGTTTTTTTCCACAAAATAAGTCCCCGGTACTGAATAGAATAAAAACATAACTTTAGATTATATTTTCGAGTAACAAAATTATTTTCTGAAAACTTGGTGGGGTAGTTATGACTTACTTCTCTAAAATAAGGATACCCAAGTAGCAAACAATATTGGCGTAATATTGGCACGATATTGGGTATCTTGGCTAAGATATCTGATATTGCGCCAATATAGCCAAGCAATATTACGCCAATATTGTCTTACCAATATTAGCAAACAATATTGCGCCAATATTATCCATTATCGATTTACTGATATTGTTATGCCCATATTGGCGAAATATTGTTTGCCAATAGGGTAAAGTGACCAAATTCCAGCCGCATCTTTACAAAATTGTTTCTACAGACATTAACAAAGAGGTCTATATGAAAATTATACATTTCTAGAAAGATAAATCTTTCAGCATTTAGGACATAATTACAGCAATTATTATAAATAAAAAATGTTTGATAAAACAACGATTACAAAAAGTATATAAATTTGACCAAAATACAGCCACTATGACCAAATTTCAGCCAGGCGTATGCGGAATGAACCTAATTACAGCCAATATAAATAACAAGCTTTTTATAATACTTTTATGGAAAAATTATCTCCATCTCCTGGATAAGATGAATTTTTAAAGGGGAAATTTGGGGCAAAAGATCTAGTTTTTGCAAAATCAGAAGCTAAAAGAGTTGAAACTGTAAAATCAACTTCATGCTGATCAATAGGCTGTTCAATTTCAGAGTAAGACATAATCCTAAAGCTGTCTTGAAACTTACTAGTAGCTTTATTACTTGCAGCTTTTAGTTCTATAGTTTTCATATTTAGTTCCACTAAATCATCACTCCTATGTTCTACTACGGTTATTGGTTCAGCTAAATAGTCGTGATCATTTGCTACAGCAAATCTTGGGTTGGTAATTAGATGTTGTTCAACTCAATATCTGGTAAAAGTACTTTTGTGCTGTCTGTTGTTTGCTTAATCTGCATAACTATTGTTGTATTATCAACTGTTTTAATTTGATCAAAGAGATTAGTCATTAACCTGTCTTCAGAATACACATAGTTTGGCAAGTAAGCTTCAGCTGGAATAATTGAAGGATTATATGGAAAGATTCCACATGATTTAAAGCCAGATTCAATATTAGCTTTTGTCATACTTTTATTCCAGGTTTTGGTTAAAAGTCCTGTAAAATTGGCCTTGTTTATTATAACCCCAGGGTGATTAGACATCATATCCTGGGCTGCTTTATTATATGAAACTTTGAATGGCTTAAATACAGTTCGATCACAAGGTTGAAGCCAATTGCTTGTATGAGCAGGTAATTCAACAATTTCAATTCGGTTTTGTATGGCCATATCTATTAACTCTACGAAATTATGGGAATCGTGGTCATCTAAAATTAAAACTTGTGGACGTTGTGGTCCAATGTTTTTTAAAAATGTAAGCTCAAACCATAGTTTTGCAATCCCTTGTTTAGTCCATCCAGATTCACTTGGACTCCAGTTGGTTCCTTCAGGGGCATCTAGAACTTGAAAACTTTGAAGGGATTTTACTGTCTTTCCTTTTGGAATCACATGAGGTGGTAAGGCTCTTCCTGCTGCATTCACACAAACAATTAAAGTAATCATTTCTCGATTTCCACTTGTTCTCATATGTAAATATTTTGTACCTTTTGCAGCAACTATTTTGTGCGCCTTAAAGTCTAGCTGCAGTCCTGTCTCATCCATGTTCCATATTACTTCAGGCTGACAGTCTTTAATGACTTCTTTAAGTGCAGTAAAATAATTTACCACCTTTATCAGATTCATGCATTGATGACGAACTGATGCTGTTGATTTTGGTTGTCGAAGAGTTACTTTTTTGTTATGTCGATTGTTAAGTAGTCGCCACCATTTATTAGATGGTTTGCCATTCTTAAAAGAATATCCATATTTTTTGGCAAGCTTGCCAGCATATACCAAGAATTGTTCTTTTCCAAAACCAATACCCATCCTAGCTCTGTTGTCTGCAAAATCGAGTAACTTTTTTTCAAGATCAAGCGGCATTAAACTTTTTCTTCCTGCTTTTGCACCAATATCAACTTTTCCATTTATCCTGCTCTGCAAAGTTGCTCGTGGTACTTTAAAAAATTTAGCAGCAGCTCTAACAGACATTTTAGGTGAACTAATAACACTGTTTATAGCTTCAAGTAACACTTCCTCTTTATATTTCATATATTTACCTTGAGTTGGATGACATTGTTTCTTATTATAAATTTTATTTTTATTATCAGCCATTCTAAAATGAAAACTTTATATTATAAATTATTAAAATTTTCAATTAAAGATTATTTTTTAATATAATTTCATTTATAAGTAATAATTTACATGAAACAATATAATATCTTTCAATTGTTTAGACTTTTGTTTATTTTCAAGTCATCATCCTCAAATTTTAAAAATATTATATAAATATTAAACTAAATAAATGCAAATATATAAGATTGATAACTTTTAGGAAATAAATGTAACATAAAGTACTTATATTAAAAGAATAAAATCTAATAATATAAATATCATACAAGTATGAGTTACTTTTAGACACTCGTGAACCTAATTTCGGCCTTGGCCGGAATAAGGTTTATACCTGGCCGGATTTTGGTCTTTCTACCAGGTGCAATTAATTAAGAAATACAATCTATAGTAATGACTCAACATAATTATAAAGCTAAGATTGTCTTTTTAAGAAATATATTTATAGTTTAAAATAATTAACATTTCATTAAGTAATAAATATTTAATATTTATAAGCTTCAAACTGGATGCTTACATGATATTTTAAATATAAAGTAGTACTTTTTTAAGATAAATATTTTTTATGATGTTACTTCTATTATAAACAGCCGCCAACTATAACAATGCTTTTTTTTATTGGCTGAACTCATAACAATCTCAAAAAAGTAGCATTTACAAACATAAAGCAGAAAACAAGACAGAAATAATAAATTTAAAATGTGGCTGGAATTTGGTCACTGGCTCGAATTTGATCAGTTTACGTTATTGGCTTTATATTATTGGTACGCATGCGTAACATTAAGGAATATTCATAATGTCCTTTAGTTTTGTTAAATGTGTTTAAATGTAAATAATAGCATCTTTTTACATAAACAGGCATCCTTATGTTATTAATTTTTTTGCAAAAACAAATAAGAGTTCAAAATAAAAATTTTAATTTATGAAAAGAGAAGAAGTAGGAAAAGTATTTTTAATTCAACATTTACTGAGTGAATCAGGAGAAGAAGTGTTGGTAATTTATTTTAAAACAGATAGTATCACGAGAAGAAGTGGTAAGAGTAATAAAATTCTTTCATTCAACATTACGAATTGAATTACGAGAAGAAGTGGTTGCAATTAATTTAAAACATATTGCATCACGAGAAGAATAGGAAAAATATTGCTATACTTAAGTATCAAGATTAAAATAGTAAGTTTACTCTTAAATGAAAACACTTTGAGAAGAAATAAATACGTCATTATTATTGTTTCTAACTGTTGTAAGATATATATATATATATATATATATATATATATATATATATATATATATATATATATATATATATATATCCTTATAGTGTAGTCGAAAGAGACTTTTATGGTAAAAAAAAGTCTCTTTTGACTACAATTTTTATTACCTCGTCTCTTAAGCTGTATTTGATTGTCATCGAAATGTCAAAGCAATTAAATTAATGCGGAAGTACATTAAATTTTATTGTTTTTTTAAAAAACCGCAATAATAATGAGTAGAAAGTTTTAATTAGTGGTGTTTGTTTTTGTTTTATTAAAAAAAAATTTTAAAACATGCCTAAGTGTTGCTACATCGACTATTTTATAGCCTGCTGCTACAAGGGAGTGTTGCTACATCGACTATCTTATAGCCTGACTCGCAACGGAGTGCTGCTACATTGACTGATAAATAGCCTGACTCGCAAAGGAGTGCTGCTACATTGACTGACAAATAGCCTGACTCGCAAGGGAGTGCTGCTACATCGACTGGCAAATAGCCTGACTCGCAAGGGAGTGCTACTACATCGACTGAGGGTTTGGTTTGGGCAGGCAGTCTATCATTTAGAAAAAAAAAATTATTTTTGAAGTTTTTCAACATTTTCTGGTCAGGCTTATTAACGCGTTCTTTAAAACAACAGTTTATGGGAAAAACTTTGTGACTACCATGCAAGACTATATATATATATATATATATATATATATATATATATATATATATATATATATATATATATATATATATATATATATATATATATATATATATATATATATATATATATATATATATATATATATGTATATATATGTATATATATATCTATATCTATATATATATATATATATATATATATATATATATATATATATATATATATATATATATATATATATATATATATATATATATATATATATATATATATATATATATATATATATATATGTTATAGGTAATAAACAAATCAATAAGTTAAACTAGATCTGCTACATCACGTTATGTTAAGAGTAGTTAAACAAGATTAAAGTAAAATTCACACAATAAGTAATGCTGAAAATAGTAAAAATTATATAAATGTGACTTTAAAAATGCAATAAACTTTAGTGAGGATTGATGATGGACATAAGCCTAGGAGAATAAAACTGATATAGAAAATTTATATCAGATATATTGAAATCTTTCAACACAACTCCTACTTCTAAAATTAAAAGTTTATAGAATAAATGACTAAATCTACAATTGGATTTTGATGTTACATAAGAGATCGGCATTAGAGTATCATTGTTGGTTGTACATACTCAGAATGGATAATAGTAAATAGTGGGGTCCCCCATTATTAACTTTTATGATATATAATAAAGATTTTTCTGATTTGGTTTTAAATGTTGTATCTGTATTTTTAGATGATACTAAGTTATACAGTTTGCTTTTTGATAGCTCACCATGCAATAACCTGCAATGAAGTATGGGCATTATAGCAAACTGGGAAAAGCTATGAAAACTAAGTTTTAATGTAAAAAAATGTAAAGTTATACCCTTAGGACCAACAAATACAAAATTCATTTATATACTCGTTTATAAAAAATCTCAATACTTCAATTAATATTAAAAAACTCTCTCGTCAATAAAGGGATCTTCATTGACAGTAATTTGACTTTTATTTTGTAAGTACAAAGAATAACACCGCTAATAAAGTTGTAGGAATGATCAAAAGATCATTTTTCAATCTCAATATCTTGACATTTCGTACTTTGTTTATTTTCCTTGTTCGTTCTCACCTTGATTCTTGCAGCTCTGTCTACTATCCTAGACTTTAAAAAGATCAACAGTTAATTTAAAATGTTCTGTGCTAGTCTAGTAAATTTGTTTTTGGCCAGACTAGACTCATTTACAACCAAAGAATACTGAGACTAAATTTAACTAGCATGAGCTATCATTTTTTATGCATTGACATGGCAGAAACTTACAAATGCATTCACAATCTTTATAATTGTAGTTGCAATCCTTTTGTTTCCTCATAAAATACCATTCAGTATTTTATCTATCAACACCTGTGTCAGAATGATGTCATCTGCGCAGCCATTATATTTATTATTGTAATTACAGACCATTAAGTAGTTAATCTGAGTTGTAATAGGATGCGTGTTAATATGGCCACTTCTTAATATTAATATATGATTATATATTTAGTTAGTATTTATTCCTCCAATATGACTAACTCCCACTTAACAAGATGTGATCATGCTTATAAATTGAAAAAAATGTTTTTTTTCAATTTATAAGCATGATCACATATGTCCGGAAAAAACTTTTCTAATATGGAATTCACAAATTTGTAGAATAGTCTACCATCTGAAATAGTGTTCAACATCTGTCACGACATTAAAAAAACATCTAGATTCATCTTGGGTTCATCAAATGTACAATTGCAAAATGGTAAATATTTACTTAGAGCTTCAAGTTGTTTATCTTCCTTAATGTCATATTTAAATAAGAAAATATTATCATAGAAACCTTTCCAAACCGCGCAAACTTTAAAATTCACTTTTTTTTACTAACCAATAATTAAACTCTACTTGCAATAAAAAGCGATTACATTAAACATTAAGAAATGAAACTCAATAATTTTTAGACTAATATTTTCAGTCAAAAAAAAATAATAATCTGAAAGAAAAAGTTAATCTGAAGTTTTTTTATATCATAAATTTATTTGTGATTATTTTTTAGCTGATGTACTGTTAAACTGAAGGTGGTAATAAAGTTTACAAAGTTTGCTCTGACCGAATTTTTCAATGAAAAAACAATATGTGTGCTATGAATGTAATCTGTTTTTCATGGCGCATCAATGAAAGTTTGGTGTATTGGCCAAATCACTTGCAAGCATCTTGCCTTTAAACTGCCATACATAAAGTCACGCTTTTGAAATAACTGAAAGCAGCTGAATATAAGAATTTTTTGGTAATTGTCTTATTTACAATATTGTTTTTGTTTTATTTACAGTATTGTCTTTGTCTTTTTATCTAAACAGCTATGTTTGACTCAAATATAGTTAATGTTGACTGTTTAGTATGGTTTCATCTCTTCTTTATACTTTTTTTTGACAGTTATGAGACTGCTTTAGAACGGAATTATCTGTGCCTCCAGCTTAAAAGGATGCAGGTTACAAAAAAAGTGACACTGAGAGACAGATTGTCTCTCAGTTTCTCAAAGATTGAAGAAATCTTTAGTGTTTTAGGGTTAAGTGATTCCATCAGAGCTTTACTTGACTATCTCTTTCGATTTATTGAATTTATTTGCCGGTTATAGATGAAAAAAGATCTTTTAAACCTAGAAGTAGAATTATGGAACAAAGACACCTTATGAATCAATAGTATATGTCAGTGAATTGATATTAGTTAATATTTTCGGAAACAGTACCATGTACTATTAAAGTTTCTAATTTTTAAAATATATGATACATTTATATGAAACATACAAACAAATGATACAATATGATACGTGATTGACTATAATTATGTTGTATATCAGAATGTTTTATATAAATGCTTATTACATTTTATTGTGATTTTTATATTTTATGCCCAGTTAGCAATGTATTTTGTGTAGCAATGACTACTAATCTCAGATATCTTTGACATCTGTAGGGTTTATTCACCGCTACAGATGTCATAATCTATTAATAACCAATTGCTTTTACTGTTCCATTTGTCATATTTTAATAAGAATCATATTATGGAAAACCGTCTAAAACATACACATGAGGAACCATTATACTTTTAGTACAACCAATTATATTACATTTGTTTTCTTATTTTAGATGAACTTTCTTACTTCGGTTAGAGGAGATGAGAAACAGCTTACAGCGGCAATCTTAATACAGCTAATGGCCAAAGAAGTATGTTTTTCATACTCAGTGTATGGAATGAAACAAAAACGTCCTGCAAGGTCGTTATAGGTAAAGTACAATATTTGTATTCTACATCCCATTTCCTTTTAATAAATAAATATTTTAATAAAAGCTAATTACTTTACAATATTTATACGTGAAAAGTTATATATTTCAAAATTATATTGCGATGATATTTAAAAAACATTTTGTAGAGTTGCGTTTAGTCGTTTATCGTTATATTCGTTCATTTCGAAATCGCTACTGACAAAAGTATTAAAGAAAAAATTGGCAGCTTTCTGGCGACGGCCATTAATAGAGATTATGAAAGAAAAATAGAACCGTAACTGAGCAACGCCCAATATTGAGCAATGAAATAAGTATCGCCAATATAATAAAAAATCGTTGCCCACTATCTCATGGTGAGAGTATAATACAGTAGTTTATATATATAAATATATATATATGTATATATATATATATATATATATATATATATATATATATATATATATATATATATATATATATATATATATATATATATATATATATATATATATATATATGTACATATTTTTTGTACGTGTAAATAAAATATTTTGTACATTTAAATAACATTGATTTTATTTTGTTATATTTTGGTTTTAGAAAACTCTATACCTCTTTTTTTCATTTGTATCTGTTTCATATAACTTCATATAACTACTTTAAAGAGAGTTTTAATATCCCTGTGGGAATGAAACAGATAGGAGTTATCCGCAAACAGAAAAAATTTAATAAGTTTAAGGTAAGAGAAAGTTCATTTATATAAAGAGAAAACAGTAAAGGTCCTGTGTTGTAATAACTTTTTTTGTGTAGTTTTGTATATAAACTGGAGACATGTAAATATTGTTTTTTAGAATTATACAATATTGTTTGCAGTAAAAAAAAAGTTTACCATTTATGCAAAAATAAATTTGAGCCAAAATAAAACTTTTTGGATCCCAGCCGGGCCAAATATGTTAGGTGTTTCAAACGACTGGCAGGGACCTAATAATTTGTTTTAGACATTTTTTCATTCTTTTAAATGTTTGAATATTGGTTTGAATGTTGTTCACAGAAAAGGAAGGTGTTATAAAAATAAAGAAATAAGTCTACAAAATTTTCAGGAGTTATTGAAAAATCTAGATTTTTGCTTACAAAAAGGCATTTTATATTTTATTTCATTTTTATTTTTTTCAAAATCTTTGCTTCCAACAAGGCTGCAAACAACCACTATTAGAGTTGGAAGTTACTGGAAGAGAAAATATGAAGCTTATAGAGCAAGATAACGATTGACAGACAACTTAAAAGATTGCAAATTATATGAATCAGGAAAGCAAAATAAAGGAAACGTAGTCCAAAGAAGTGATGTTCGACAAAAAAAACTAGACAAATAAGAGTTTTTGGAGCACTTAGGAATAGTCACAGTAAAAGGATGAGACTTAATTAAATGACGAGTAACATGAGAATGAATTTTAGTAGATTGCACAAGAGATGCTAGCTCTTTAAAGCAGTGCTCGTAATAGTATTTTTAGAAAAGAGAAAGAGAGGCAACATCACAACAATGTAAGAATGGTTGACTGCAAGCGTAAGTCCAACTATGTTTACAATGCGTTTTTGCACTTTGTCTAAAAGAGAAAGAGCATTATTGGAAGATCCGCCCTAGATATGGCAACAGTATTCCATATAAAGACGAATTAGAGATTTATAAAGATAAAGAATAGAATCCGGATTAAGAAAGTGTCGAGCACGGTAAAGAAGTTCAACCCTAGCAGATGCTAATTTTGCAATGAAGAAGATGAAGAGTAGATAAATCATAGAGTACATCACCGTTCATAAATATAGGAAGAACTAAAGTTTTGCGGTAACGATTGGCTGAAGTTGGGTTTTATCTAAAGTTCACAAACCACTGTGAGCTCCATGCTGTAACAGAAATGAGATTCTTTTCAAGCTCAAATGCTTCCTCTAAGCAATTAGAGAAAGGCTTCTTGCTGTTCTGTTTTGTATTCAATCAGTTATTACTGTTAGCAAATCAACTGTAGAACAAGAAGATCAAAGTCTATACTGATGATCAAAAAGTATGTTGTCAGATTTAAGATGAGAGATTAAGTACTTGTTAATTAAAGATTCAAAAACCTTTCTTTTTGAATCTTTAGATAACAGATGCCGCTTTCCAGCATGCCAGAAAACAAGACTCTGATAAACACTTGTTAAATAGTTTTGAAAGTATAGACGACAGCACCTGAGAACACTTCTGCAAGACTACAACAGGTATGTCGTCCGGATCACAAGCTGTAGAAGAGTCTAAGAAGGAAATCACTTTAAATACAGAAGCGGAGTGATATGAATGTCGAGCAACGGATCAACCTGTTTGTCGACTATATCAGGTAGAACGCAGTGGTGTGTGACGTAGTGGAACCAAAAGATAATATTGATGAAAAATTCATAGCAAACAACTCAGCTTTGTCTTTAGATGAGGTGTGCAAGAGAGGTAGAATAACAGATTTGCCATTTTTATTGATACTGTAATTGGCTTTCTGGAGAATTTTTTTGCTGCTAGATATGGAAGTAATGGTTTTGATTGGAAATTGCAGCAGCCCAGAGGTAAACCAAGGAGAAGAGTGGAGCTTAACTTGAAATTGTCCAGTGGAAATAAAGGATTCCATGCCAGCTTGAATCCAAGAAGTTATGTAAGAAGCACATTTGTCAGCAGGAAGAAAAAAGATTTCTACCTAAGGGTCATTACAAAGAAAATCACGGAAAGAGTCACAATCAGCTTCAAGGTAGTTGTAAGAGGTACAATGATAAGGGGATTCTAATGATGAAGAAGAATGAGATAATAGTTTTAGAGAGATCAAACAGTGATCATAAGCGCCTCAGGGTGGGTGTGGAGAAACTGATTATTGGCTAGGATTAGAAACAAGGCATAAGTCAAGTGGAGAATGTAAATGATTCGAGGTGTCTGGAAAACAAGTTGAAAAGTTGACTATTTGAGTTAGAGATTGAGAAAAGCAAAAGTTATGGGCCTTAACGCTTGCAGAGTTAAGGACATTAGAAGCCATTCAGTGTGATGAGCATTAAAGTAACCAATAACAACAATATTGGCTGATGGATGAAAAGAGAGAGCTTGGTTAATTTGATTAGAAATAATATCAAAAAGAGTGCAGTCTTGAGATGAAGGAGAGTGATATAAAACAAAGAGAAAGACAATTGAGTGAAGTGGTGCTAAACAAAAGCACATAAAAGAATAGTCGGTGGATTTAAACTTAGTTTTCCGACAAATGGGTGAATTCTTACGGCTTAGGGTTTATTAATTACAATTAATAAACCCTAAGCCGTAACAAAGGGCTCTAAATGTGGCCTCGACAATGCACACCAAAAGTACGAACAGAGACACCGTCCATGAGTAAAATGGCAAAAGAAAGTCTTGCATTCAACATCCTAAACTGGAAACAATGTTTCTAGTTTAGGATGTTGAATGATAGACTGAATGCAATCTCAACCACGAGCCCCAAGGCAGGGGATGTTTTAAGTCAAAGTTGGCTTCTCCTAGCCTTTTCCTTAAAAAGCTTATCCTACAAGGCAGTAGGACATGAAGCAGATTGTACTGGGTTACATGTTACCGTAGCAGGATAACCTGACCTGAAGCTAGTTAATTTAAGTTGCAGGATGATCTGACGCTAGACTATTACGATGGCATTTGAGCATTAATGCACAAAACAGTTGGTATTTAAAAAACCGTTGTAAAAAGGATTAAAGTTAAATTAAATATTCTTGGTGTTAAAATTTTATTTTTAGTAAAGCGTAAAGTGACGGATGCTTATGATTAAAGTATTAGTAAAGAAAGTTTTTTAGTAAAGTATTAGTAAAGACAGTTGCAAAAGTATTCGATTAAAGAATAGAAATCTTTCTGTTTGCTTTTATCAATAAACTTTTTTTGTTTGGAACAAGTAGATGATTAGCCGAAATTAAATAAACATGCAAAATTGATTTTGCTTTATACATAAATGAAGACTTAATGTGCAATCAGTTTTATTTTTAGTTTACAACTAAAATAATTTTTTAAAAATATGTAAATATTTAAAGATAACTACTGATCTAATTTTAATAAAATGTTATTTTATTATATTTATCTCTTTTTTTTAACTTCTAATCCTTTTTTTTTAAATAAAAAATTGCAGTTAAGTTATAATACATTAAAAAAGTCGTTGTAGGCTGAAGATATTGCTCTTACCACTGCGGCCGTGGTGCATTGGTTTGAGCGCTTGCTTTAAAAGCAAGAGATCCATAATTTGAAACGAGCTCTGGGTATATTTCGCGCCATCGGTAAGGAAAGAGGCGTGAACTTCCTAGTTCACTCCTCTTGTCACGCCTATGACAAGACCGTTTGGTCTTCTTAGGGCTCTTAAAACAAAAATTAAATGTATATGTGAGGGGTAACGCTAGCCTCCCCCCCTGCCCAAACATGAGGGCACTAATGTAGTAAAATTTTCAACTTTACTATCGTAAACTAAATAAAAATTTATCGAAAGATTTTAAATTTTGTAAAAAAATATTGAAAATAACAAAAGTTATGTTACAAAATTTTCAACTCCTGCCCCCCCCCCCCAAAAAAAAAAATAATAATAATGAGGGGGTATAATCTTTGCATGGTCATCACTTTTTATAATTTACAATATTTTTCTACAAATTTTAAAATCTGTCGATAAATTTTAATTTAGTTTACGATAGTAAAGTTGAAAATTTTACTACACTAGTGCCCTAACGTTTGGGCAGGGGGGCCAGCGTTTTAAGGCTTTTTATTTCCCAGGCTTCCGCCGTCCCAATTTTTGTAAGGCCTCCTTATTTGGTATAGGTATGAAAATACTTGTGTTTAGAGTTTGCATAATGTCTGAAAGTGTCCTATCTGAAACATCAAAAATTCATCTCGACGCCCATGAAATGAACTGTGTAGTGTTGTTTTATCTTTTAACTGTGTAGTGTTGTTTTATCAACTGTAAACAGTTTATTAAGATAAACAATTTATGCTAAAGACTTAACAGTTTTTAGCATAAATTTGATTTAAAATTTCATTGACGTATTTTATGAAACTTTTTAACGTACTTGGACTTTGTTGAGAAATGCTTAAAAAGATAAGTATTTATGCTTTAAGGAGCTGCTAAATTATTTACGTACACATTGTGCAAAAACTTTATTTATTTTTCAGTTGGATCTTATGGTTTAGTGTGCTTATTATGTTGCCTGATTTGACGTCAAATGATGCAGTGCTACCTCGCGCAAAGTTTTCTCCAATTATATAGTTTTTAATATTTAAACAACAATAAGTAATCAACAATAAGTAATTTAAAACCATATAATGACAATTTGAATCAAAATGATATTCCTTTAGAGCATAAATCACTTTCAACTATCAGTCTACCACAACAGTCAGCTTTCCATAAAATACCATGCTGTTATACCAATGCTACATTCCTTAACAATAAAATGCCAGAGTTTCTTATGACCAACTAACTTATGACCAAAAAGCTAGCCCAGGTATCTTCCAGAGACAAACATCTTCTTTCGCGGTGACAGTAATTGTGATTTGGAAAATAATTGTGCTCAATGACTGTAACACTATACCTTACGGGGTATGCCAGTAAGGGTTATTTCAAAGGTTACATTCAATTGAGACATACAAGCCTTAAATAATCTTCGTTACAAAAACTTGGTTGTATGAATAATCGATAATTAAGACTGAAAACTATATGTTATTCAGAAAAGATCACATGTCCAGTAGAGGAGGTGGGGTGGTTATTTATGTCGACACTTCATTAAAACCGAATGAAGTGAGCAAAACATTTTTTATTAGAATTCCCTAAACAAATTTGGTGCGAAATATTGTATGGTTCCAAACACATTCTTCTGTGTTGCATATACAGGCCACACATGCTAGATCTACTCAAGAAAATTGAAGCGTCCATTATTAAAGCAAATGAAGTTTTGTCTAATATATACAGCGGCTTGTTGATTTGTGGAGACTTTAGTTTGCCAGGGATTAACTGGAATTCGAGAAATATCTCAGCTGTCAGCAACACAGATACCCTTTCAAGTAATTTTATTGATATCCTTGCCAATATGTTTCTGATACAATTAGTTACTAATCACAAAATCACGGCGAATAACATTCTTGAAAATGAAAATCGGGTCCTAAATATTATTCACCATACACCTTATTGTCTCTGAAAAAATCTCACCACGTCCTTCAATGGGATTATGTTGTTAAAGGCGCTACAGTTGAGGTAAACCTATTGAAAAACGCATTTATCATAAAAGTAACTTTGTAAAGATATCCAAATATTTTAAAAATATCGACTGGCAGATGGAATTCAATGGACACAATACTGATGACTGTTTCCTGAACCACTACGAGGCTGCAAATCGGCTGAACGACCACTTTCAAAGTGTTTTCAACAAAAATGAAGACGATGAACTCCCATATTTTATAACACAAACTGAAGCCATCTGTAAATACATAAGATCTGGTTAAAAAATAACATAAGATTTAGTTAAAAACCAGCTAAACAATTTATTAGTTGATAAAACCGTTGGTGTTGATGGTGTAAGCGCATATGTACTGAATTACTGTTCAGACAGTTTCTCAATACGTTTAAGCACAATTTTTCAGAAGTCGCTAGATAGTGGGTGTTGTTCTGAAGTATTGAAAAAGGCTAATGTAACACCACTGTTTAAAAAAGGACCCAAGCAATTACCGGCCTAGATCCTTAACATCAATTGTATGTAAAGTGATGGAAAAATTATTAGGTGACACTATGGTCAATCACTCAGTCAAACATAGCCTTATTTCAAAAAGTTTTTGATTTTTTTGTCAATAAAGAATAAAGATTTTGTCAATAAAGAAGCGTGTATGACTAATTTTTTGGAGTTGATTGACGTGATGTCAAAAACATTATCTGACAAGGTTTCTATGGACGTAGCTTTTATAGATTTCAGTAAAGCATTCGATATGGTCCCCCACAAGAGACTAATTTACAAACTCGAGGCATATGGTTTTACTAGAAATCTCCTGACTTGGATAAAATTGTTTTTATACCAGCGGTTTCAATGAATCGTGATGGGTGATTATGTTTCTTTGTGGCAAGAGGTATTTAGTGGCGTTTCTCAAGGATCCTTCTAAGGTCTAATACTTTTTATCATTTTTTTGAACGATATATCCGATATTGTTAACCATCCATGTAAAATGTATGTAAATGACATAAAACTGCTGACCCGTTTAGACCACCCCTTAGCATAACAAAAACTTTAAACTGATATCTACAACATAGCCGAATGGTGTAAAACCTGGAAAATGAAACTTTATCTCAATAAGTGTAAAACTATGCACATATGTAAAAGAAACTATTTTTATGTCAACTCAATGCCAGCTAATAACAATAACAGTGTTGAACTAGCATCGACTTTAGTTGAACATGATTTGGGAATCATGATTACGCCAGACTTGTAATGGCATAACAATTCAACTTATGTAACCAATAAAGCAAACCGTGTATCTTGTATCGTACTTTTGTAGCCGTAGCATCTTTTATCGTACTTTCAGTCACATGACTCCGCAACTACTTAAATTTCTATACACAGCCTTTGTACGACCTCATGTGGAATTTGCGGTAGCAGCCAGCAATCCATCGTCAAGAGTAGATATTGATAAAATTGAGAAAGTACAAAGAAGAATTACCCGTTTAATACCTTTGTACCGTCATACATCATACAAAGATCGTCTGAGTATACTGAACTTAACTTTCTTAGAACACCGTCGCATTAGGGGAAAACACTGTCGCATTAGGCCTATAAAATTATTAACAATATAGACATTGTCTCATGGAGTGTCCTTCGTGTTGGGGTGTCAAATAAAATAAAAACTAGAGGACATCATCTAAAAATGACTAGAGAATTTGTTCAAAGTTGTGAGCAAAGACACCAGTTTTTTACAAATCGAATAGTGAATCATTAGAATGCATTGCCGTCAGAAGTTGTATGCCCTTCATCTGTTAACAGTTTCAAGACTCAGCTCGATGCGGAAATTTCATATAATCTATATAAGTATCGAGATTATAGCTAAAAAAAAAAGAAAAAAGGATAAACAATAAAGTACAAACTTTCACTTTATTCTATATTACTTATTGCAAATTTTTACATATTGATATGAATAAAATTAGAGTACGAAGTAGATAAGGCTGCCAAAACCGAGGTTCTACAGGGAAACCTGTTGCAGCATTTTTTATCCTACTACTACTACTACTACTACTACTACTACTACTACTACTACTACTACTACTACTACTACTACTACTACTACTACTACTACTACTACTACTACTACTACTACTACTACTAAATTATTTTTTATTATTTAAATGAGTTAATAGGTGTGGAAAAAACTACAGCTAATATTGTTTATATTGGTGACTTTAATGTGTGTTTTTTTTGTGTGTGTTTTTTTTTTGACGTTGTCAGTTATTAAAATATTTCAACATCACCTTTTGACGTTGTCAGTTATTAAAATATTTCAACAAAAATATTTCAACATCACCCCTCCCCCCCTGCCCTAAAAAAAAAATTCCTTGATCCGTCACTGTTAATAATATGGTAAAAAAAAAGGCCCCTAAAACTCTTGTTTAGCCCGTGGTTTCGAGCACCATAATCTGGGTTTAGCTTTTTTTTTTATATATAAAGAATTAATATAGTTTAAATTAGAAAGGTAAATTTTTTTAAGATAGATTTTCCCCAAAAAATATTTTGATGTTGATCTATTAACCTCGCGTAATAAAAAGTATCTTATTTTAAATGACATTCTAAGCCGCAACAAAGATGGCGGCTTTCAAGAGTTCATCAAATACTATAAACGAGTTTTTTAAACTGACTTTTTTAAAATAATAATTATGATTTTTAAAGAGAAAATTTTGTGTAATATTTTTTGGGCAGTGGAAAAAATCAGACCAAACAAATGTAATTGTATAAAAAGAGAACGATTTTTTTTCCGTTTAAAAACACTATGGTTTTTAGTAGCTTTTGTAACACTATCGTCACATATAAAATTAGCTTCTGGAGAATATAAACCACCTGAAAACGCAGATTCTGAAAAATCTTTTTTTCAAAAAGATTATAAAACATGTAAAAAGGGATTAAAATTACCAGGTTACAGCCTTAATGGGGGTACGAAAGCTGGAGATTATATAAACTTAGGTTCTGTAAATATTTTTGATGAGTGCATTGACCTATGCTGTCAGGATAGTGATTGTGAAATAGCTGTTATGTTAACTCATAAAAAGCAACAGAAATGTTTTAAAGTAGTTTGTTTTGAAGTAGACGATGATTTGTGTAAGCCAGTGCGTGCAACAAAACAAAAGGAAAAGTATCATCCTTACTTATTCTTTCGAGGTGGAACAAAAGATTTATCAAAAAAAGAAGGTATTATTGCATTAAGTATAGTAGCAATTGTATGCAAAGTCTGTAAAAACAACGTAATTACATCATAAAATCAGCAAACTTTGTGTTATTTTGCACTCAATTAAATGTTTTGCAAATGCTTTTGTCATAAGTTATCAAATATGGTAAAAAATTGAGTTTAAAGAAAAAATTTCAAGTAATAAATCAAGTTAAGTCAATAGTTAATAAGTACAATGAATCGTCTAATTGACATCAAAAATACTATTAAAAGTATTTCTTCTAATAGAAAATATAAATTTTAAAATTATATTCAAGTAGACAAATATATTAATGCTTTATATAAGTTCCAAAATATGTCTCCAGCAGCACTTGATCGACTTGTAATGAATATGCTAAATAAAAACAATAATTTATGAAAAAATTAGTGTAGTAATACACTTATTTAGTTTAACTGATTTCAATGCTAAATATATAATAAACTACACACACACACACACACACACACACACACACACACACACACACACACACACACACACACACACACACACACACACACACACACACACACACACACACACACACACACACACACATATACACACACACACACACACACAAATTATCAACCAATTTAAAAACATTCAATTATTAAATACATGATTATTATTTATTTTTTAAGTTAAATCAATCAAATTAATTAACTCACTTATTTAAGTTCTTTATTGTGATTAATTGAATTGTAGTTTGTTGGTTTTTACAATATTAGATTTCTCGCAACCTGTTCCATGTCCTGCTGGCTTGTAAGGTTCTCCTTCCAAGGAATGGCTAGAAGCTACTTTAGTACTTTTCTTAATCTCTTACTCAAACTTTTTTCTTAATCATTTTTCATTCTCTGATTCAGATAATTAACTTTTTAACTTGTTTTCCAGACAACCCTAATCACTAATTGATTCTTGTATCTGACCCTACCTTGTATTAATTTTCTCCTTGTTCTTCTTTAGGTGGCTTCAATAATACAATGATCTCTATCAATCTTTTATCTTGTACTTCTTTTGACTCACCCTATTATCGCACTACTTACTACTACCCAAGCTAAATGGGATTTTTAATTATGAATTATGATTTTCTTTATGACGATTGTTGGGTTGATTTCTTTTGTCTCTCCTCTTGGATTCAGGCATGGTAAGAAACTCTAATTGCTTTTTATCGGTTCCAAGTCAAACTTCATTTTGCATCATGGTTTTCACATTGTGCAGCTACTATATCTAATGTAATCATTTTTTCTTAAGAAAACCCTATTGAGAACAAAAGCCTTTTTATTATTGCAAATCAATGTAAAAAGGTGCTGTCTGATATTAAGCTCCACTATTACCAGTTTACTAAATGTCATATCTTATCTCAGAAGTTAGGCTCTAAAGAGTTTTGGTAACTCTTCAACAGTGTCATTAACAAACATTTTTAATTAGAAAACTAATTTGTCTTCTCATTTACTGCTGATCTCTCATGGAAATCATATTTACAATCCATTGCAAAGTTGGCATCTGCTAAGGTAGTTTCTCTTTATCTTGCTCACCATTATCTTACTCCTGATTCCATTCTCTACCTCTACAAATCTCTTATTCATCTCTGTATGGAATATTGTTTTCCTATTTGGGCTTGTTCTTCTATGATGCTTTTTCTCTTCGAGGCAAGGTTTAACTTTAAACCCATTGCTTGTAGCCTTGTTGGGATTGAATTAAAATTTAAAAAAAAATTTAAAGATTGTTAAGCTGAGATTTAGTTTTAAGTTAGTTGTTGGGGGCTGAAAATTGTTTAACTTTTTTTGTTCAATAATCCTAATGTCTTACATTTTGTGGTAAAAAGTATCCTGAATTTACCCTTTTATCAAAGTTGAATTTACTGAGCTTAAAAATATATCACAAATTCTAGTAACATTTAATAATAACTTTTTATGTGGATTTTTATATACTTTGTTATTATATATTTTCATTGATATTTAGTTTAACATTCTTGAAGATTTTTAAATTCTTTTATAATTTCAATTGTGTCATGTTTTTTGGAGAGAAGAGTCCTATATTCACCCTGTCTACAAAAATTTACTGCAAAAGAATAATTATTTTTACTATTTTTTAATAAAAGGTATGTTTTATAATTGCAAAAGGTATTTTTTAAGTAAAAAATACCTTTTGCAATTATAAAACAAGTAGAAGTGCTGTGTCATTAATTTCAATGATATACCTCTATCATAAAGGTATCATATCTCTATATTTTAATATCCAACATATTTAGTTTGGCTTGTATCAGTTAACTTGTTATAAGCTAAACTGAATATGTTGTGACAATACATGTTCATAATACTCAAATTACAGGTTTCTACTGTTACCTTTGCAATAATTACATTCTAGGTTGTCTTCCAATTTGTTTAACCATTTTGAAATTTTTAAGAGTAGCAACATTTGTATAATTTTTTTTAATTTCATATATATATATATATATATATATATATATATATATATATATATATATATATATATATATATATATATATATATAATATAAAGACATTAAAAAATTTTTTGTTAAATATTAATGTTGAATTATTTTTCAAAATGTTGCTTTTAAATTTTTGTTTAGTTTAGTTAGTTTAGGAATAGGAAATATAATTATTATTACAATTTTATTATTTTAGCACAAGAGACATCAAGTACGGAAAAAAAATCTGATAGGTAAATCTTTTTGTAAATTGAATTTCTTTTTTTAATGAAATGTTCCTAAATTTAGTTTTTTTTTTTTTTTTTTTTAATTATCTTCGCTTCCAACAAGGTTGCAAGCAACCACTAATTAGTGTTGGAAGTTACTGGAAGAGAAAAGATGAAGATTGTAGAGCAAGATAACGATTGACAGACGACTTAAAAGATTGCAAATTATATGAATCAGAAAAGGAAGATGAAGGAAGCGAATTCCAAAGAACTGATGTTAGAGGAAAAAAACTAGATGAATAAGAGTTTTTGGAGCACTTAGGAACAGTAACAGAAAAAGGATGAGACTTAATTGAATGACAGTAACACGAGAATGAATTTTAGTAGATGGCACAAGAGACGCTAGTTCTTTAGAGCAGTGCCCATTATAGTATTTGTAGAAAAGAGAAAGAGAAGCAACATTACGACGATGTAACAGAGGTTGAAGGTTGGCTGCAAGAGCAGGTCCAACTATGTTTACAATGCGTTTTTGCACCTTGTCTAAAAGAGAAAGGGCATCATTAGAAGATCCGCCCCAGATATGGCAACAGTATTCCATACAAGGCCGGATTTGAGATTTATAGAGATAGAGAATAGAATCCAGAGTAAGAAAGTGACGAGCTCGATAAAGAGAAGCAACTTTAGCAGATGCTAATTTTGCAACGGATTTAATATAAGGTTTCCAATAAAGATCAGAAGTAAGAGTTAATCCTAGAAGATAAAGGGTAGGAGACTCATTGAGTACATTACCGTTCATAAATATAGGAAGGTCTAAATTATTGCGATAACGATTGGCCCAAAAAAAATGAGTTTTATCTGAATTAAAGTTCACCAGCCACTGTGAGCCCCATGCTGTAGCAGAAGTGAGATCCTTTTCAAGTTCAGATGCCCCCTGCAAGCAATCAGAGGGAGTTGGCTTCTTATCGTGACAAGAATAAATGGTAGTATCATCAGCGAACAATGCCACCTTAGATGTGAGAACATCTGGAAGATTGTTAATGTAAATTAAAAAGAGTATAGGGCCAAGTATTGAACCTTGGGGAACCCCTGAGGTTACAGAATAAGAAGAAGAGTGCTGTCCATCAAGGACAACTTTTATACTACGATTGAAAAGAAAGGATTCAATAATCTTAAAGATGTTTACAGATACACCGTAAGAAGAAAACTTATGGAGGAGACCAGTATGCCAAACTTTATCAAACGCTTTAGAAATGTCAAGAGCAATGGCCTTAACCTCTCCACCTTTATCTAATGCGCGATAAAACCTATCGGTTATTACTGATAGCAAATCAGCCGTAGAACAAGAAGATCAAAATCCATACTGATGATCAGAAAGTAGGTTATGAGATTCGAGATGAGAGATTAAGTGTTTGTTAATTAAAGATTCAAAAACCTTGCTTATGATAGGAAGAAGACTAATGGGATGGTAGTTAGATGAGTCAGATCGCTCTCCAGAATTTTTAAAAATAGGGATAACAGATGCTGCTTTCCAGCAGGCTGGAAAACAAGACTCTGATAAGCACTTGTTGAATAGTTTTGAAAGGATAGATGACAGCTCCGGAAAACACTTCTGCAAGACTATAACAGGTATGTTGTCCGGGCCGCAAGCTGTAGAAGAGTCTAAGCGGGAAATCACTTTAGATACAGAAGCTGGAGTGATACGAATGTCGAGCAATGAATCAACCTGTTTGACGGTTATATCAGGTAGAACGCAACTAGTGGCATCAAGAGATGATATTGATGAAAAGTTCTTGGCAAACAATTCAGCTTTGTCTTTAGGTGAGGTGACAAAGTCTGAACCGTACAAAAGAGGTGGAATTACAGACTTGCCCTTATTATTGATACTGTTAAAGATTCTCCAGAAGTCACGAGAGCCTAAATTTTGTGATTAAATACGAGATTTCATGATCTGAGAATAGCGAGCTTTGGCGTTAGGCAAAACCTTTTTACAATGGTTCCTAGCAGTAATAAACAGACGTCTGTTTTCTGGAGAATTGTTTTGCTGATAGATATGGAAGTAATGGTTTCGATTGGCAATTGCAGCAGCACAATGTGAGGAAAACCATGGAGAAGAGTGAGGCTTGACCTGGAATCGTCGAGAGGGAATAAAGGATTCCATGCCAGCCTGAATCCACGAAGTTATGTAAGAAGCACATTTGTCAACAGAGAGACGAAAGATTTCTACCCAGGTGCCATCACGAAGAAAGTCACGAAAAGAGTCTCAGTCAGCTTTAAGGTAGTTGTAAGATGTACGATGATAGGGGGATTCTGATGGTAAAGAAGAATGATGAATAGTTTTAGAGAGACCAAACCATGATCAGACGCACCTAAGGGTGAGTGTGAAGAAACTGAGCACTGACTAGGATCAGAAACAAGAAGTAGAGAAGGTAAATGATTCGGGTTGTCTGGAAAGCGAGTTGGAAAGTTGACTATTTGAGTTAGGGATTGAGAAAGACAAAAGTTGTGGGCCTTAATGCCTGCAGAGTCACTGACACTAGAGCCAAGCCATTCAGTGTGATGAACATTAAAGTCACCGACAACAACAATATTGGCTGATGGATAAAGAATGAGGGCTTGGTCAATATAATCAGAAATAACATCAAGAAGAGTGCAGTCTTGAGATGAGGGAGAGCGATATAGTACAAAGAGAAAGGTGATAGAGTGAAGTGGTGCTAAACGAAAGCACATAAAAGAGTAGTCTGTGGATTCAAACCTAGTTTCCCAACAAATGGGTGAATTCTTACGAATGTAAATGCCCAGGCCAAGCATGTGACTATTGGAGTCTTTATAAATTAAAGGAAGATAACCATCAACACTAAGATCACAAGATGAGACAGCTGAACTCAAATTAGTCTCACAAAGAGTAAGTAGGTCTGGTGAACTTTGCAAGAGATAAGACTCAACAGAAGAAAAGTTACTTCGAAGACCACGAATATTGTTGAATGATAGGTTTAGCGAACTTGGTGATGACTGTGGTTTTTTGTGTTTTATAGTTTTTGTTACTTTATTCATTTTTAAATTTGTTAAAGAACTTGACTCGAAACATAGATCGTACTCAGTACACTGTTCTATAGCTCAAGCCATTGCCTCATTCCCACTAATAAACTCTAAGCCGTAACAAAGGGCTCCAATGTGGCCTTGGCAATGCACACCAAAAGTACAAACAGGGACACCATCCATGCGCAACATGGCACTGTTAGTACTCTGATATTTTTCAGCTGTTGATGGAATCAGCCTCTCTGAGAGCTACCACAGAGTTCGAGAAACCTGACTACCAGCCGGTCTTAGAACCATAAAACTGAGTTTTAGAGCTGTACCCTCATTTGGAGATAATAGAATGAGTTGCCTAGTCATAAAAACAGAGACACAAGCAAAACCCATGAATCAAGTCAAGAAGATCCAGCGTTCAACATCCTAAACTGGAAACAATGTATTAAAAATACATCTGCGCCAGCCTAATAGATGACGAAGGGGTGCGAGGCTGGTCAACAGATAGAATCTGTTTACCCCTTAAGTCTTTGCCTAGGAGGCCTTCTACAAGACAGCAGCCGGATGTATGTAACAAGTGCCCAAGATGAGTTTTTTTATGAGACACCATCTCTAGCCTTTACTCAACCAAGAGCCCTAAGGCAGGGGGTGTTTTATGTTGGAGTTTGCATCTCCTAGCCTTTGCCTAAAAAGGCATATCCTACAAGGCAGCAGGACATGAAGCAGATTGTACTGTGTTACATGTTACCAGTAGCAGGATAATTCAGACCTGACAAAAATATAATAATATATATAATAATATAATAAAGTATATGTTATTATATATAAATATATATTATTATATCCTCAAGAACAGGAGATTAAAAGGCCAATTTATAAAAAGGCCAGTTTATAAAAACTTACTCTATTTTTATTCATATTCTAACATTTATATATCTGAATCTTGAATCTTGATACAAAATTTGAGGATTGTTACAGTTCATGAAATTATTTATAGATGGTTTTACTAATTTGTTTTCTGTATATTCAAACAGTACCAATAGGCTACTGTTTGAATATATCGAAAATATCTTTTAAGTTTTTTGTCAATCATTATCTTGCTCTATTAGCTTTATCTTTTCTCTTCCAGTAACTTTCAATTCTAATAGTGGTTGCTTGCAGCTTTGTTGGAAGTGAAGATTTAAAAAAATATATGTTTTAAGGTTCTATCTTGACGTAGAGTTGACATTTTAGGATGGCCATATCTGGGTTTGTCCGTGAATTTATTTGATTCCAAATGTTTCTTATACGCATTTTGTACAGGATGGCAACTTTTTTTCAATTTTTTAGCTATATCATTTAGGCTTAAGCCACTAATTTCCTTCAAAGCCACCACCTGGGCCCAAACTGTTGAATTATTTATTGATATTAATACATCTTAAAGTTACAAAAATATGTTAAAATGTTCAAAAATTGGCTATAATATTAAAGAACTCATGAAAATCAATATTTATATTTGGTTTAATACACAATTATTCATAAATATTTATAGATTCGTACCTTGTCAAATTACTATATACATTGTTATGCTTATAATGTTAACCTCACCATACGTATGCCGCAAAATGATAAAAAAAAACAGGTGGCTCTAAACTTATGACCAGCACTGTATATATATTTTATTGATTTATTTTTTACATGTATACAGTACCAATAGTTATTTTATTAATTTGTTTTCTATATGCATACAGTGCCAATAACTATTTCAATGGTTTGAAGTTCCACTAAATCCTAAAATAAATTGATTGATGAATTCACTCCACTGCTTTTTGCACAACACTAAATGTACACTGTCAATATCACTATCAATGTCAATGTATTATTTTTGGCTTATAATGGTTGATTCTTCATTCATTAACAAAATCTTGCTCTTTGTTCTATGAATTATAATAATTTTTTTCTTCATATTACTTTATGATTGATGCTTTAATTGATGATGGTTGATTAATTCATTTGTTTGTAAAATGAAGAAATTGATCTGCAAGAATTTAATGGAGTTGTAATACTCATTACAACTCCATTAAATTCTTGCAGATCAATTTCCATTTCAAAGTTTTTCAAGGACTGAAAACTTTTGTAGTGAACTCAGCTTCCTATCTAATAATAAAGTTTCTTCTATAAAAAAAAAGTTCATTATTGGACTTTAGATATTTTTATTTTCATCTTAGCTTCTAAGCTTGTTGTTTTAACGTTTTGGCATCTAGTGCAGCCAAGCTTTTTTTGAAAATCAAGCCACTTGTTTTTGGACAAAATAACTTTTTTTTTCTCCCTAAAACTTAAAAACGACCATGCAAATGACCATTATATAAAGAGTTTGATTATTTGAAAAAATACAACTTTGTGATGGAACTTAAAGTTTCATGCCCTTCGGCAATCATCAACCATATTTTATTCTTTAAATGAAGAAAAAACCGTTAAAAAATAAAAAATACAGAAATTAACAGAAAAAAACCATAACAAAGCAATGGAATGAGTTCTGACCTCAAAACAAACAGTTTTATAATTAATTAAATCTCAATCACCCGTGTAGAATAGGGCGAGAAGGAACTTGTTTTGATGCCTGCACTTGGATACCATTTCACTTTTTTTGTTTAGTAGATTTTTATTTTTTGGAAAATAGAATTTCATATTTTTCGTATGTGCATAGTTTGCAGGACTTCGTCGTTGGGTTGTAAGCATTGCACTGCTTAATTATTTTCCATTTGACAAGTGGGTTTAAGTTGACATCTTTTAATTTCCAAAATTCTTTTGATAATTCGGTGTCATTTTTGTATTTTAGAATATTAAATGATTTTATATGGTTGGCATATCTAATTTTGAATGGTGTTTCACTTATACCGATGTAGGATTTGTTGACAGGAGTGTTAGTAGGATTATTGGAACTTATATTGGCTTGGTATACAATATTTTTTGTTAAGCATTGGTTTGATAAAGGGCAGGTATTTTTATTAAGGCAATTGCAGTTGGTTTTAGGTAGAATTTTGTTGTTGTTCATAATTTGTTGATTGTGTGCATTTAAAGATTTCATATTCGGCATACAGCTATAACTTATTTTTATCGTGTTTCTGTTAAAAGTTTTGTGGAGTCTGTGATTTTGTTGGAAGTGTATATATTAAGTATAGAAAGTAAGTGTATATATTAAGATATAAGTGTATATATTAAGATATAAGAAGTATATATATATATATATATATATATATATATATATATATATATATATATATATATATATATATATATATATATATATATATATATATATATATATACAGTGTAAAATGAAAAAAATTTTTGTTAAGTGGTTTTCTACTAATTTATAATTGCTCTATTCTTTTAAGAACATTGAGCACTCTATTTTGTAGAATACATTTTTTTTTTTAATTGTTTAAATATATATATATATATATATATATATATATATATATATATATATATATATATATATATATATATATATATATTATATATATATATATATATATATAATATTATGAATATGTGTTTAGATAAAACCTCTGATGTCACACTGAAATAGCCTGTTGCAAGGGACTTTAGTACATACAATGACTATTTTATAGCCTATCATCCTCAAAGTCAGACTCTACTTCATTCTCCAGTCATTTCTGGGGTACTGCAGGTTTTATGGTCTTGTATTGTTTCTTATCTATATTAATGATCTTCCTAACAATCTTTCTAAGCAATCTAAAGTGGCTCTATTTGCTTCAACCATAGACCCCTATCTTGACAAAAAATCTTGTTAGGATTGCTTAATTAAGGCAGCCCAAATATGGCTGTCATATTTGGGCTAGTTCTTCTAGTGATGCTCTTTTTCTAGATGAAGTTGAAAAATGCATTGTAAATATAGTTGGACCTATTTTATCAGCTAAGCTTGAGCCACTCTCTCATTGTCGTAAGGTTGCATCTTTTTCTCTTTTCTACAATCATGAACTATGTTTATGCTTTCATGATTATAGCTCCTTTGCTGTTCAAAGGAACTTAAAGATTAGAGATTTGAGATTAAATGTTAAGAATTAGAGATTATATGTTAGCCTTACTGTAGTAAATGACATTGTTGAAGAGTTACCAAAAGTCTCTAGAACCTAACATCTGAGATAAGATACAAGATTTAGTTAACTGAGAATAACAGAGCTTAAAATCAGACACAACCTTTTTACATTGGCTTCTTGGAATAATAAAAGGACATTTTATTATTCCAAGTAGCCAATGTTCTTAAGAGAGTTGTTCTTGTAAAAAAAAGATGAAAAAAATGATTACTATTTAATAAAGCAACTGCTCAAGATGGTGAAAAATGTGGAGTAGAATTAGGCTTGACTTAAAATTGAAGAGAAGAAATAAAAGCTTCCAAACTTTTATTCCAGAGAAAATAAAAGCTTCCAAGATACAAACATATTATGGATATAAGCATATACAGTGGGATGCAGAATTATAACCTCACCTGTATAGAAACCTTAAAACTATCTTTCAAAGTTTGTTGATCAAATTCTATTTAAAGATCATTTTTTGAAATAAACAAAATAGTTTGAATGAATCTATTTATACTTTAATTAACTCAAATTATAAAACTGTTTAAAACCGTGGTGCACAATTATAACCTCGTTATCTAAATTGCATCAAAAGTTGTTAAAAAATAGTAATAAAATCCGTTTTCAAATAAAATTTATTACATTTAAAAATTATAAAAAACATTCTAATGAATGCGAGGAATTTCACTCTCCGATGATAAAAAAGGCAAGATTGAAGCCTACAGATCATTGCTTTTATTAAACAGGGCAATTGCTTGCAAATTGAGACGTTTACAACGTTTGATCAATAATTTCGTAAATGATCCAACAAATTATTGCACGAAGCATCGAAGTGGTAGAAAACCTATACTTACAGCTCGCCAACAGCAACGAATCGTGCATGCTGCTAGTAACCGTACAATCTTCGTGAGACAAATAGGCGCTGATTTGGAATTAAACTGCTCAAGATGGGCGGTGAATCGTGCAATTAACAAGTCAGGCGTTCTTAGATATGCAAAAAAAACGCACATCTCTAGCACTAACTGAAGCGCACAATTGCATTCGTCTTTAATGGGCCAAGGACTACATGACTTGGGAAAAAGAATGGCAAAAAATTGTGTTGTCGGATAAAAAAAAATTCAATCTTGATGGTCCAGACGGTTTTAATTACTACAAAAAGAAGGGCTTTGGGAGGCAGAGGAGTAATGACTTGGTATGCATTTGGTTATTTTAGAAAATGCTGAAGGATAATTTTGATATTTCTCAAAAATTTGGTAACACCAATTTTTTTTCCAGCAAGAAAATGCTCCAATTCATAGAGCAAAATAAAAAATCTCATGGATTACCAGCATGAAAATTCAATTATTAGAATGGCCAGCGCTCTCACCTGATTTAAATCCCATCGAAAATGTATGGGGCATCTTAGCAAGACGTGCAGAAGGGAAACAATATTCGATTGTCGATGAATTAAAAAAGGCAATTGCTTCCTGTGTGGATGAACATGTCTCTTGCAGATCTTAGAAAACATTCGGAAAGTATGCCTAATTGAATATTTGAAGTTATTCAGAATGGTGGCAATAAATCAAAGTACTAATATATATTCAAATTGCAATACAAAACATTATGGAATTTGGTAGAGTAAAATTAAAATGAGGTTATAATTTTGCACCATAAATTTTTCTGAAATTTTCAAGTCAATTAACGAAATGAAACCAGACTCTATTACAAATGAAATATTAATCAAGTAAGATATTAAGCAATTGAATAATTTAAAAATAATTATTTAATTATTTGTAAGATCTTGATTTTTTGGTGAGGTTATAAATTTGCACCACACTGTATGTTAGCTATTTATTTAGATGCTGTCAATCATCTAAATAAGTAGCAAAATAATGGATTTTTGCCATGACTATAATATGACGAGAAAAGGAGGCATAATCTTAGCCAGATTAGGAAAAAATAATGTATCGAACAATGTTTGTTAGAAGATTAAAGTGATTTAGTTATCAGCATATAGAGAGGTAGCAGCTTCAGGAATGGTAAAAGTAAGAAAACTTGAAGAGATGCCTTAGATTTGTATGAATGAACATAAGTTAAGGAAAGAAAATGCTCTTGATTATTTATATTAGAGAAACAGCATAAAAGAGGAAGGCTTAAGTCTAATGATAATGATGATGGTGGTGATGATGATGATGATGATGATGATGATGATGATGATGATGATGATGATGATGATGATGATGATGATGATGATGATGATGATGATGATGATGATGATGATGATGATGATGATGATGATGATGATGATGATGATGATGATGATGATGATGATGATGATGATGATGATGATGATGGTCATGGTCATGGTCATGATGATGATAGTAATAATGTTTATATATGCATATATATACAAAGTATTACATGAATTTTGAATTAAAAAAATATATTTTGTGATGTATAAATATTTATGCAGCCCCAATCACAAATCTAACCCTGGCCCCAGTTTTATTTTATCAAATCTAGCCCGGTCCAGCCTCTATAAAATATCAACCCCAGTCGCTTACTATCAATAACAATGAAAGTAATTTTAAAAAATGATAGCTTAACATGCTGTCTATTTAAACTCAAAGTTACATTATTTGCATGTGCACACACCTGTTAATACAGCATTATTTTTTTTGTTTTGTTTAGATTTTTGTTTTAGAGTGAGTTAGGGCTGCAAAACTAGAGCTGTTTTAATTATAGCTCCTCCATCCCCGTTCTATTCAACCCCCTCCTCTCCTCCTTTCCACCCTTCTTCCACCATCCACCCACTAAAAAAAATAAATTGTTTGAAATATATAATTTATGCAATAGTTTAGTTTGCTAGAGTTACTGATCCTTTAATTAATTTATTTAGACCAAAATCTGTGTGTCGCTCTTATACAGGTTCAGTCTGCAGTACTCACTTAGATCCCACAAAGATGTATATATATTCTGAGGATAATAATGAGACCAGCCTTGAAGATCATTTGCGTGCACCAATCCAAAAGATTAGCACAACAATATCAAAGAAGTGTCAAAGTATTGCTTTACAGGCTATTTGTTACAGAATATATCCACAGTGTACTGATCAGGATAATCCAATTCCTATCAAGATATGTGAAAATGAGTGCAGTAAAATTTCTAATGGTAAATGCGTAGCTGAGTTCACTGCAACTAATATGTTGTCTTACTTACAGCGCATTATTCCAAACTGTCAGGAGCCAAGTGACGAGTCTGAGGAATCCTCAGAAACTTCAGATTGTATAAAACTTAGTGAAGGTTTGTTGTTTTATTATATTGACCATCCAAAGAAGTGTTTTTTATTCATTTAATACAAAAACAGAAACTGTATTTGTATCAAATGATTTGTTCAACTTTTTTCTATATATTTTTATCTATCTATTTTTATCTTTTTTATAAGTTATTACATTTATAATTTGTTTCACTTTCTTTTATTATAGCTTTTAAATATATCATACAAAAAATCTAACATACTATTGTTATTTATTATATCTTTTAAATATGATAAATTAAATATATGAATCAATGAAGTAGTTTTAATTAATTTTAGGGTTTAGAAGTAATTAATTTTAGGGTGATTGAAGTTATTTATTTTTTAATGTTTATTTACGCTGTCATAGACATAATCAGTATGTATTTATTTATCCTTTGATCTTATAAATGTATAATTATATTTGCATATATTTACTCATGCATTTTTCAATCTTTTAAATCAATAGTTTGGCAACAATAAAAAAATTCATTTAATCTACTTGTACTATATGTCTACTTTATATAGTTTATAAAATGTTTTTTTTTTAAGAAAAACCTTTTAAAATATATTCTCTTATTTTTCATTAAATGCAACAAAACAGAAGTCTATCAAATCTATAACATAAAGACAGAAAAAAATCTCAATTGTATATAGTTCACTTTATGTTTATAAATTGCACTTATCATAAATCATTTATTGTCAGGTTTTATACAAAAATTTATTAGTTAACTGCTTTTAAAATTAGTTCAATAATTTTTAGTTTATTCTAATAATTTTTAGTTTATTCCTAGAATTTAACTGTTCTTTTGAGATTATTTTGCCTAAATTATAAATGATATTGGATTTTTCATTGTCTTTAATGTTAATTAATTGTTTAATTTATTTTCATTTCGAAGGTTCTCAGTGGTGTACACTGGATTTTTAGATGTTTGAGTTTTGACACTTACAGGCATTGTGCAAACTCCAAACCTTTGTATCTTCATCCTTATGTTAAATGAGAATGTTTTGCAAAGCATTGTGGTGATTGGAGCTTGGGGACAAAAAGCCCTAATTTGTGGGCCCACCTAGCCCTTAACGTGGGAGCAACAAGTTTATGAAATAATTTTCTTAGTATTTTTATCTAAGTTTATATTCATCAACAAATTTCAAATTTCTTGCAATTATCTCTTAGTGTTCAGTTCTTATGACCGTACAAAATTTACATCCCCCTCAAATTGGGGTTAAAACTTTATATGATCATAATTTTCGAAAAATAAGAGATTATTGCATGAAATTTGAAATTTGTTGATGAATATAAACTTAGATAAAAATACTAAAGAAAATATTTTTTGAAAATATTTTCTTTAGCATTTTCTTTAGTATTTTTTGAAAATAAACTTTTTGCTCCCACGTTAAGGGCTGGGTGGGCCCAAAAATTGGATTTTTTTTGTTCCCAAGTTCCAATCACCGCAACTCTTTGCAAAACATTCTCATTTGACATAAGCATGAAGGTACAAAAGTTTGGAGTTTGCACAATGCCTGTAAGTGTCAAAACTTAAACATCTAAAAATACAGTGTTCACTACTGGTTCTCTTTATGCTGGTCTTGTCAAAAGTATTAGTTTTTCATCTTTTAGGATTAACTCTTACTTCTGATATTTCTTGATATATATATATATATATATATATATATATATATATATATATATATATATATATATATATATATATATATATATATATATATATATATATATATATATATATATATATATCAAACATATCAAATCCATTGCAAAATTAGCATCTGCTGAGGGTACATCTCATTATCGTGCTCCCCATTTTTCTTTCTCAGGATTCTATTCTTTATCTCTATAAATCTCTAAGCCGTCCTTGTATGGAATGTTTCCATGTCTGGGGAGGATCTTCCAATTATGCCTCTTTCTCTTTTAGACAAAATTCTCTTTAAGACAAGGTGCAAAAACGCATTGTAAATATAGTTGGACCTGCTCTTGCAGCAAACCTCAAAAATTATAACATCGTCATAATGTTGCTTCTCTTTCTCTTTTCTATAAATACTATAATGGGCACTGCTCTTAAGAGCTAGCGTCTCTTCTGCCATCTACTAAAATTCATTCACATGTTATTCGTCATTCAATTATATATATATTTTTTTCTTTTTTGTTTTTTTTGTTAATTCACCTCCTCAAGGCCGAAAAGGTCACTACAGATAAGCTACATATTTGTGGTTATAATTCTCTCTCAACTCAATAACTCCGAAACACAAACCTTGACGAACAAGGCTGCTGCGCGGAGAAACGATTTGAGTGCAGTACTACCAGGGAAATGGTGGGGATCGAACTCGGAACCTCTCACCTATGAAGCGAGCGCTCTACCATTACACCACTACCGCATTAATTACACATCTCATCCTTCTACTGTGACTGTTCCTAATTACTCCAAAAATTCTTCTTCATCTAGGTTTTTTCCTCAAACATCAGTTGGAATTCGCTTCCTTCATCTTACTTTCCTGATTCATATAATTTGCAATCTTTTAAGTTAATTGTTATCTTGCTCTATAAACTTCATCTTTTCTCTTCAGTAACTTAAAGTAAATTCTAATAGTGGTTGCTTGCAGCCTTGTTGAAAGTGAAGATGTTTAAAAAAAATACAAAAAAATAAAAAAGTATTATATATTTATATTATAAATATATTATAATATATTCTATAATTCACAATTTTCTTCAACATAGATCTAACATATACTTTAATTTATTTTGTAGCTTTCACATACTTTGCATTTCACATCTTATTCTCATATTCACATTTTTTAGTGAATTTGATTTATTGAAGCATTAAACCTATGTATTCAAACATTAATTAGGGCTTTCTTAGGATTTACTCAGACACCATTATATATAAGGATAACATGAACAGTTTCAGACATGTGTGATAAGCATCATTTGTAATTTTTAAATGAAATTATGTTATATATTCTTAAAAAAAAATTATTTTCAGGAAAGATCAAAATGATTAATTTATGTAATTGATTTTCATAGTTTGTTAATTTTTTACATCAAGTAATTATATTATATCTTTTTTTTGCGAAAGTGAAGATATACTAATTGTGACAGCAAATCATTTTCGTTTTTTTCTTATCGAGTTTATAATTTTTGTAATATTTTTTTATTTCCTATATTAATCTGGCTCTGCACTCGTTGTTAGGTATTTAAGAAAAAAAAAGCATTATTTATAACAGTATTTATAAAGTATTCATAATTCAGGGATTATCTTTTTCCAGATATTTCTGGAATTATGGATATTTTTTTCAACTTTTAGTTTTTCCGGATATCCGAAACATTTTCAATACATGCAAGTTTTAGTATATACTTTTGTAATATATTTGATTTTCAGGCCTTTGTACTCATTACTCAGAAAAGTTATGAAAAGTGTCAAAAAAAAGTTAGAAACAACTTAGTAAAAGCGAAATTAAAAAGAAAATAAGAGAAAACAATTTCCAGATTTTTTCCCGATATTTTATGCAAATAATTTTCTGGATTTTTAATATATGATTAGGATGATCAATGATAATTAAATAAAGTTTAATTTCTGATTCTTTGTTTTTTTCCTCTTTTTCAAGGATTAATATTTATACATATATTTTTTCTTTATTTGTTATTTTCTTTTAATATTTGACACTATTCTTTTTTTACTAATATTCTTATTTTTCTTCAATAGAGCCATATGAATCATCCTTGGTTACTCAAAATAAAATGTTGTATTCCAAAGAGGATTTAGGTCAAAAATTATCCCAAAATTTCCAAATAGAAAACAAAACAGGTTTGACTTTTCAGATGCAACCTAATTATTCAAATTTATCACTTGGACCTATTGTAGCAGTATCTTCATTATTTCAAGAGTCTATTCCTCATGCTTTGGAACAAAATTTTTCTGCCCTGACTACTAGTGCTCCTATTTTAACTGTGGACGCACCTTTAAAAGTAATTTTATAGTCTTTATAGATTCTTTATTTTGTCCTAAAATTAAATTTTGTTGTTATTTTTTGTGGCAACCCAAGCTAAAGTTAATGTTTTTTTTATAAAATTTACTACATATAAATAATACCTAGGCCCCTAATATCTAGACACTTTTAATATCTAGACTCTTTTAATACCTAAACACTTTTAATAGATAAATACTTTATATACCTAGACACTTTTTTTATTATCTTAATAATTTTTAATGTTGTATTAATATCTTAATAATATACTAATAATTTTTTCAATATCTATGCTAATAATAATGCTAGACATTTTTAGATTAAAATAATTTTACTTAAGTACTTTTTATTCATTAGTTAACAAAAATCAAAAGGTTAATCTTTTTAAAACTTTTTTTTAGAATCATTTACCAACAGTTGTTAATGTTACAGAAAAAGACCAAATTAATTTCCAAGGTTAAAATCAAAAAAATTTAACATTATATTTAAATTTATTAGTTTATAATAAAATTAAAATTATCCAAAAAAATAATCTTCAAATTAAAAATGATATAGTTATTTAATAAAAACGAGAATAGTTTAAAAAAGATAAATATTGTTTTAGCTATTTTAATATGCCCAATTTTGATATAAGTCATTATGATGCTATAGAAACTGTTATAACAACAACAAAGGTAGCTGCTGTAACACCCAATCCTCCTCCACCTGGTAAGTTATGCTTAAAAATGATTATTAAAAAAATAAAATTTAAATTCACCACATTATTTAAAAAAGTAATATTCTAGTGTTACTGGAAGAAATACGAGTTTCAGCTGGAGACAATACAGAAATTATACTTCCTATAGAAGAAGCTAGTTTGTATTCAAGCACTTGGCCTAAAGAAAAACAAGGTTATTCTTTTAAGTTTTAAATATACTTTTTTTTTCTTTAAAAAAGAAACTAATGCAAGTGCACTATTAGGTTTAATTCTAGGTCCATTTTTTTTTTTTTTTTTTTTTGAAATATCAGTAATTGCAAAAATGGTATCGGCCAACCCTCTTGTCCTCTCAGAATTGTGACATTTATCTAGAAATCTCAAGTTAGATAGCTTTGAAAAAGTATTATTTTTCTTTTTACATAACCTGGCTTTACTCTGTACCTAGTTATTTTCTGAGTTAAGGGATCCAATAAAATGATCAAATATTTTTATTTAATTTTTATATATTCTAGATTTAAATATTCAAGAAGCCCATGTAACCTTGATGATATCAAAAAAGAATTTTCACACATGATTCTATATCAAATAATCTTTTTTAAAACAAAATATTTTTCATCTGCAAATGTACATATAAACTACAGTTACCTATCTAAAGAATTTAAATTTTTTACATAATACTTTATTTAACTCAAATGAATTTAAAAAAATGAATCAAGTTCTATAAAATTATAAATATCAAAATAAATATTAACAAAAAAATTGCAAATTTTGTTAAAAGTTCCATATTAGTGTGTGTGCTTAAACTTTGCTATAACATTTTGTTTGGTATTTTCAGTTTTATTTATCATACCACATCAATGAAGTGTATATACGTAAAATAATTGACTTTTAATGTATTAAGCATTGAATTTTTAACATATACATGGTAATTTTTTGATTAGATTAAGTTTTATTAGTCAATCATTTTACAATGATACCAATACCTTCACATGGTGACTTACCATGAATTGTAACGAAAAATATATTTTCTGCATCAAGATTAAAATTATCTTTATGGTGACAGATTTTGTCAAAATTTTGTGGTTTTTTATACTTCTATAACCATATGAAAAATTCATCTGTGTCTGAACTTCGTACGCAAAGCATGTGTCATACTCTTTGTCTTCTGATATGAAGCAAAATGGTTTCAAAAATGAGTTCAAAATTTAAGCTTTTCATTTTCTTTGGGTAATTTACTTTAAAAAAGGAAATCTAAAAATGTTATTGCTACAATGGGAACTTAAGATCTTGAATCACAAACATTTAGTTTTCTTCAACGTCAAACAATGCAGCAGTCTTTTGAGAAACTTTTTTTTTGTTGGGTTTTGCATGTTGTTAACTGTACCTTCTCATCAATTAATTGTGTATCATGGAATAATATATGGAATATATATATATATATATATATATATATATATATATATATATATATATATATATATATATATATATATATATATATATATATATATATATATATATATATATATATATATATATATATTGTGTATCATGGAATAATATATGAAATAATATAATACCTTCTCATCAATTAGTTGTGTATCATGGAATAATATATGGAATAATATAATACCTTCTCATCAATTAGTTGTGTATCATGGAATAATATATGGAATATATATATATATATATATATATATATATATATATATATATATATATATATATATATATATATATATATATATATATATATATATATATATATATATATATATATATATATATATATATATATATATGGGTTTTCTCAGCAATTTTAGGGATTTTCTCTGCAACTTGCTTGTAAAATTCATTTCTTAAAATTTGCAAATATAGTTGTGCAATGTGTTCCCACAACAGCAAATATTATATAAAAAAGTTAGCAAGAAATAGAGTAAAATCTAAAAAAATAACAAACTTGTTTGGTTTAAAACCCAAAAAATACTATTTTTAAAAAAATTTTGCTCTTTTTGGCTGAAAAGTTAAATAACTTAAGTCTTACTGCAAACGCAACTTTAAGTAGTACAAGTGCTTAGTCATCAAAAATATTGAGAAGCCACAAGTCAGATACTTTCAAAATTTTGATCAATTACAGATATTACATTGCGTCTTTAAGTTATTGTTTATCTTTTTTTGTTTGGTATTTTAGATCAACTAAATTACGTGATCGCATTGACTAAAAACATTTTTTACTTATCTACCATCTTTTCTCTACTAACTTTATTGAAAGACCATCTCTGAAGTTAAAAAATCAAAACTGGATTCGCTGCTTGCTTGAATTTAAAATGTAAAAGCAAATTTAAATGTTTTTGAACACACCATAATCATAACATTCTATGACCATAAAGGAAAAAATATTTATTGGTAATTTTTGTTGCCAAGATATTGTGCAAGCACTTGCGACCAATTTTTTTAAATTTAAAACGACATTTGTTGTAATTTTTACTGAGAATTTGTAATTGTAACTTTATTTTGCTATGCGATTTATGCATAATCAAAATTAATATAAAATTATAAAAATGAGCTCTATAAATGAACTCTAAAAATTAACTCAATAAATATGAAATATAAAATTTATAGGCTCGTGTTTAACATTTCAAACTTTTTCTATGTTTCTTTTTTTAAAACATTTCTTTTGAGGACACAATTTATTACATGATGGTGTAACTGTTTGAAATTGGAGCTTAATTTGCCGTTTCATTGTGAAACTATGGCTAATTTTTTGTTGATTTCATATTTGTCTTCAATATATTTTACAGACGGTATTTTATTCTATTTTTGGCGCTGTCCAACCATATATATATATATATATATATATATATATATATATATATATATATATATATATATATATATATTTATGGTGAATATATATGTGTATATATATATACGGTGTATGTATATGTATATATATGTATATATATATATATATATATATATATATATATATATATACATACATATACATATATATATATATATATATATATATATATATATATATATATATATATATATATATATATATATATATATATATATATATATATATATATATATATATATATATATATATATATAAATTACAAATAATATACAAATAATAAATTTTCTTATTTAGAGGGAGAATATTCTTACAAATGGTCAGAAGTATCTTCGCCACCACTTAGTCATGGTTACATTGAAGGAAAAAATTCAAAAAATGTTAAATTATCAAAGGTGGTTTTATGATTTTTTTTAAAAAATACATTTAAATATTTTATTGACAAGTATTGCGTAGTTGTTTTAATATAGTTATGATATTTATTCATCTGTAATTTTTGTATTCAATAAATCTTTTACAGATAAATAAGCTGCAGTTTTTGTTTAGTTAAATGTACCTGGTGTGTATACATTCAAGTTAGAAGTTGAGAGCTCTGATAAGAGACATGGTGTTGGATATATAAATATTACAGTCAAAGAAGGTATTTTGTTTACACATTAAAAACACATTACACATTAAAATTAAAAACACATTACACATTAAAATTAAAAACACATTACACATTAAAATTAAAAACACATTACACATTAAAATTAAAAACACATTACACATTAAAATTAAAAACACATTACACATTAAAATTAAAAACACATTACACATTAAAATTAAAAACACATTACACATTAAAATTAAAAACACATTACACATTAAAATTAAAAACACATTACACATTAAAATTAAAAACACATTACACATTAAAATTAAAAACACATTACACATTAAAATTAAAAACACATTACACATTAAAATTAAAAACACATTACACATTAAAATTAAAAACACATTACACATTAAATTAAAAACACATTACACATTAAAATTAAAAACACATTACACATTAAAATTAAAAACACATTACACATTAAAATTAAAAACACATTACACATTAAAATTAAAAACACATTACACATTAAAATTAAAAACACATTACACATTAAAATTAAAAACACATTACACATTAAAATTAAAAACACATTACACATTAAAATTAAAAACACATTACACATTAAAATTAAAAACACATTACACATTAAAATTAAAAACACATTACACATTAAAATTAAAAACACATTACACATTAAATTAAAAACACATTACACATTAAAATTAAAAACACATTACACATTAAAATTAAAAACACATTACACATTAAAATTAAAAACACATTACACATTAAAATTAAAAACACATTACACATTAAAATTAAAAACACATTACACATTAAAATTAAAAACACATTACACATTAAATTGATAATAATCTCAATCTTAATCATATTTACAATAAAAAGAAAAAGGAAATAAAAATGATGGTGAAAAAATAGAAAATGATGGTGAAAATAAATTATACTGAGAAAATCTTTTATATTTAAGATAAAAAACAATTTGAGTTTAAGTTTTTAAATATTGGTCTAGATAGTTTAATGTTTAAGTGTTCTGTTGGTGCAGAAGGGGTTTACAACAATAATGTTAGTAATAAAACTTAACAGAGGGTATTTTATAATAATCTATTTTAAGAGCATATGCCATTATATGACCATTAGTATGGCGAGCCATTATATCACCATTGTGTGTGTTTATGTGGCACGTGATTATACACAAATAAACAAAAATAAAGTAACAAATTACTAATGATGATTTTTGTTCAAAGTATCATTGAAAGTTGTATATAATTTTGTATTTATTTATATTATACAAATTTTATAAGTACGGATTTTTGTATTAGAGGTGCCATGAATATTGATTTTTAAGGAATACTTAATATTCTGCTAGGCACTTGGGTGAAGCACCAAATATTCAGTGGCATTTAGTTATTTTGTGGGTTCCGACCTTCTTTGTTAAAGTGCATATGTCAACTACACTGTGGGCATTTTTTTTCATTTGTGATTAGGTTGTTTCACAGTATGCATTATTTGTTGACTGTTACATCAAAATTTTTAACTACAGTTATGTATAAAAGTATTATACTCTTCAAACTACTTAAAAAAATTTAAAAAATAACCAGCTCAGCTAAATCTTGCATTTCTGAGGTTATTTCAGAAGATGTAGTAGATAGATACAGTACAAAGAACTCTAAATTTCAGTGGGAATGACAATTATACGGTTGCTTTTTTTATTGATGCACATTTTAAAACCTATTTCCTAGGTTTAGTTTAAACGAAACAAGCAAAACAAAACAAAAATATATGCTTTGAGAAAGATTGAGATGTGTGACACACATCACTATCTTTTTCAGTGAAAGGTTAATCCTTCTCAGTGAAAGGCTGCTTGACACTGATGAACCATCACCAGTGTCTAGTAGCACGGATGATGATTTATCTCCGCTTCGTAAGAAAAAGAAATATAAATGAAACAATCAAACCAATCTCTACAGAAAATACGCACACATAGAGATTTGTAAAAAAAAAATGCTCAATTCCAAATGAAATCGGTTTTTATATGAAACTGTTTGCTTAAATTGGACAGCAAGTTGGATCAGCAAACCTAAAACATTATCCTTAGAACTTTTTAAAATTTTCTTATTATTTGCAGGTGGCACTTTACATAGCAAATGGCTATTTTTGGAAGTATGTATAATTTATGAAAAAAAGCGCAATCATTTGTTCTCATCAAATAATGAAATGGTTTTAATCATAACTTATCTTCTATAGGTTTTAAGTATCAATTATCCTAAATTTTTTACAATAAAAAAATAGTTAAATGCAATCCTTTTTTAAGCTTTTTTTTTTTTTTTTTTTTTTTTTTATTTTTTGTTACAGTTTAGTATTCAGCATTCAGCCTAATAGTTGATTTGCCTAATAGTTTGCATTATTTGACTGAAGTAAAAAGTAAGTAAAAAAAGTAACAGAATAAGCAGAATAGTCACTGAATATTGGTGGCATCTATTTTTATTATAATTTTTTTAATTTAATCATTTCAATTTTAAAAATGATGACTTTTTTAGACAAAAATAGTGTTTTAATGGACTTTATTAAGAATAATTCAAGTTAATACACTCAAAAAGAGTTTTAGTTGAAAAAAAAAGACAAATGTTTTTGAAAGCTGTTAGAATTAAATAACTTTGATCTTTAATAAAGTTTTTATATTATGGAAACACTTTTAAATAAAGTAAGAAATCGCTATACAAAGGCAACGCATTTCAGACAAAAGGAAAAAGTAATTTTATCTTTCCATTGAAGTAAAAATGATTTAATAATTTTATTTTTAATTTTACAACAAAGAAATTTTAAAATGTTTTTTCGTTTACTTTATTTACTTAACAGAGCATTTTTAAGGTTTAAATATTTTTCTGTTATTATGTATTACTTTCTATGAATAAACAAAGCATGAAGTTAAATAAGTGTTTATCTTTATTTTAATGTGTAATTATATACTACCATGTATTTATAAGGAAACTTACTATTTTTAAATTAGGAAAAAGAAATACTTTAAGTTAAACACAGAAGTTGTTACTTTATTTTAAAGGGTTTCCCATATTATTATAAGAGCATTAGTTAAGATAAAAGATTCAAAGTTATTTGAAACATATTTTAAAACTGGGTTTAAATTATCTTTGTGTTTCAGTCTTTTAAGTTTTATTTTAGTGGAGTTATATTTGTATTTTAGTTTTATTTTAGTGGAGTTATAACTGTAGTTTAGATTTATTTTAGTGGAGTTATATTTGTATTTTGTATTTAGTCAAGTTCTTTTTATTTTCCTTTTTATTAGGATTTTTTTTTTTTAGATAAAGATTTTTTTTCAAAAAATTATTTGTATGGTCATATAATGGTGTGTAATCACACACTTTCCTGGCCAAGAATGATTGCATAAGTACTGGTAGTACCAATACTCTAATACCATACTTTTTTCAAGTACCGGAGTTACTGTATTGGGTTTAATAATCCAGTATTTTTGTATTTTGCTTTAATAATTTTTTTAGTATTTTGCTTTTAATAATAATGAGCATTGCTAAGGCTTGGGGAAGAATGACAAGGGATTGCATGCTGTAACTGACCATGCTTATAATTTTTTTCCGAACAATTTGACCATGACTGTTTTTTTCCGAACAATTTGACCACAGCTGTTTAGCAATTTAAAAAATTGTTATGTTATGAATAACTTTTAATCATTACCTTTTTTAAAGTTTTTATTTTATTAAAGGCTTTAAAGAAAATAAAAAATTAATTATAATGGTTGTTTAAAATAAATGCATTTTGTGTAATTTAACAAAAAAAGTTATAAGTTTTTTTATGAAGGCATGTATTTTTTATGATAAATGTCTTTCTTAAAATCTTTTTTTTTTTTTTTTTTTTTTGATTATTGTTTGCAAGTTTTTTTTTTTTTTAGCTACTTTAAATTATGAATAAGTTCAAAACTTTTTGTGACTAGTTGCTTAGAGCAAGTGTAGGATCATTTTACATAAATTATATGAAAATATAAAATAACTTTATTTATTTATATAAGCATGTATTTTTTTGATTAATGTCAAAGTTTTGAAGTATTTTTTTTTTTACTTTCAATTACAATATGAATAAGTTTAAATCTTTTATGATAGTTTTTAAATTTTTAAGTTTTTAAAGATTTTAATCTTATGATCATTTTTAAAGAAATACCCTCATTGAAAATGATACTGGTATTGAATGCGCTAATAACAATATACATATACAATATAAATATAAAAAACAATTATAATTTGGAGGAAAAAAATTATTGAAGAATGTTCCATTTTAAGCATTAAAAGTTAGTTTAAAAAAATATTTCTTTTTTAGTACAAAACTTTTTTTACAAAGATCTTTCTACAAAAATTTTTTTTTAAAACAAAAAATGTTATTTATTTTTAGCTCCCCGAGTTAATCGACCTCCAAGAGCAGATATTTTTCCAAAAGAGCAATCAATAACATTGCCAATAAACACCGTAGTTCTTGACGGCTCAAGTATGTTTTAAGAATTTTGTTATAATTATTTCAACAGATTTTGTTTTATTTTTTTCAAATTCAAATTATTTTGTTTTTTTAATATTGGTAATTGTAGGGAGTTCAGATGATGTAAATATTGTTTCATACAAATGGGAATTAAGAAAGGGTCCTCTCAACGATAACAATGTTTTTGACTCAACTGCTGATACCAAGATACTGCAGTTGAAAAATTTACTGGCAGGCACCTATGTTTTTCGGTTAGTAGTTATTCATGTTTTGGTTAGTAGTTATTATTGTATAACATGTAACTATACTGGGCAATTTATAAAAAGAAGGAATAGTAAGGTGAAATATTTTTAACATTAAATATGTAAATATACTTATAAAAAGTCAATTGAAAAAGAAATTTTTTTTAAATATCTATATAAAAAAAAGAATGAATATTTAGGTGAAACATTTTTTTATAACAAACAAAAAAGTTTTAAAATAATTTATAATTATTATAAATTTATTAAATATTTAAAACTTTTTAATTTTATAATTTTGTCATTACTTTATTGCAACTGTTGCAGAATTATTTTATCTGTCTAAACTATTATCTGCTCTCTCTCTTGTTATTTTTGTCTCTTTCTCTTTTTTTAATATTATTTTTATTATATAGAATATATATCAATATATATTCTTCTTTCTTCTCATACTATCTTAATTATTAAAATTTTAACAATTTTGTATAAAAAGTTGCTTAAAATTGTTTATAACCAGTTCACATATAAGTGATTACTATTTATTCTCAGTAGCACCACAAAATCTCAAAGGAAAAGAATTTAAGTTTAATTTAATTTTGGCACAATATAAAAAAAAGCTCTTATTACAATAAAAGTGATTACAAAGTGTCGAGCACTTTCACAATGCATATTGCATTAAAGCATCAAATGTCCTCTTTGAGTCATTTAAGGGGTAGTCATATAAAAGAGGTGATTTTAAAAATAAAAAGAAATCTATAATATTCAAGGGTTTATATATTTTCTTGGAGAGAGTGAAGTTAATTTTTTAAAAATAATAAAAAAATTACATTTGGTTGATATGTAATGGTAGTAAAAGTGTCAAAAAGTCGGCAAAATTGATCACATTTCAAAATGCGTTAAGTCAATTTGTCTTTATCTGTTTTCAATTAAGTTTTAGTATATTCTACAGTACATCTAGATACTCCATTTAACCGTCAGATTTTACCTAAATCAGAATAATAAAAAAGTTATTGACTTTTTTGGATAACCCATAGATTTTCAAAAGTTTTGTGGGAAACGTTTAGGTCTATAAATCAGTATTCAGAGTGATTCATCAAAGTTCTGAGGATTAAATGGAGTGCATATATGTTGTAAACATATACTGAAAATTTGAAAACAAACACTCTATCCAATATCAAGTTACCGCATTTTAAGTTTTTAAGAAATGCTTGGAATTCGAAGCTGAGAAAAACACAAAAGGAAGTTTAAAAAGTTTAAATTCTCAAATAAATCTGTAAATTCTAATAACTTCCTGTATCATAAGATTTAATGGGTTCTTTTTCTTTTAAAATGTCATTGTAGCTCTTTTGTTTTGCTCTGATAGATTTTTTATTGCTTTTTTACATTGTCATTATCTTTTTTGGTCATGATTTTAAACGCAAGAAATAAACAGTTTCTATGCAATTTGATGTGAAACTGTTCCTGTCAATCCGAAATTTTCAAAGCTGCCAAGGATGCCATTGTTAAAATATATTACAGTATACATTACAAATATATTACAGTAATTTCTATTGCTTCTATTCCAACAAATATAGATTTTTGTACACAAGACCATATGATTGCATTTTATATCAGTCTAATATCAGTGGCATAGGAAGGTTTTTAAATGTTTGAAATAACCAACTTATAAACAAGAATATTCCAAATTTGTTTTACGTTTATATGTATGAAGAAAAGATTCTTTAAAAAAAAAATAAAAAAATATTTGTGTTCAAAAATTATGACCATATAAAGTTTAAACCCCCCTCAATTTGAAGGGGTTTCAAAACTTTATATGGTCATAACTTTTGAACACTAAAATACTATGAAATTTAAAATTTCTCTATGAATATAAGTCTAGTTAAAAATAGTACAAAAAATATTTCATCAATTGTTGCTCTCACGTTTGGGGCAGGGGGACTAAGGTTTTACGGTTTCTTGTTTCCATTCTCCTATCACAGTAATTTTTTTTTTAAAGAATCTTTTTGTCATACATAAACGTAAAAAAATTTGGAATATTCTTGTTGTTTATAAGTTGGTTATTTCAAACATTTAAAAGCCTTCCTGCGCCACTGTTCTATATATCTTACTTTTGTACATTTGAAAGGTAACTAAGAGCGTTACTAGGTAAATTTCAAAAAATGGAAACCTAAAAAGTTATCAATACTGACTAAAAAGGTATGGTATGTGATTCAATTTTTTTGGGAATGAAAGTAGTAGTATATAGGATGCTGTTTTAGAAAAAAAAATTAAAAAAATAATCATTTTTTTATGACAACCACCTTAAATATTTTTCTCTATAATAAAAAATTATTTCAGTATTTTCTTTTTTTTATCTATATAATATTTTAGCTAAGCTTTAAGCAACAAAATTATAATTTTTCAATTTTTTGAAAGCAGTGTGTGTGTCTGTTTGTGTGTGTGTCTATATATATATATATATATATATATATATATATATATATATATATATATATATATATATATATATATATATATATATATATATATATATATATATATATATATACATATACATATACATTTACATATACATATACATATACATATACATGTACATATATATATACATATACATATGCATATACATATGCATATTAATGCAGCATTAGACGCACACTGATGACGTCATACTAAAAGAGGTGGCTGCGCAGGCTTCATTACATAGATCTACTATCTTATAGGCTACTGCTGGTAGGAGTGTTCCTACATCAACTGAGGATTTAGCATGGGGCAGCTATCTTTTCTTCCCATATTCTTTCTTTCTTTTTTGTTCTTTTTCTGGAAAATTAAAATACACATTTTTAGAATGATATATGCAAAAAGCATATTAGGAAATTTAGTCCTTAGGTATGACCCTGATAATGATGATGATGATGATGATGATGATGATGATGATGATGATGATGATGATGATGATGATGATGATGATGATGATGATGATGATGATGATGATGTCTATTTTATAATCTCAGGTTAACAGTAAAAGATTCTGATGGAGAAACAGATAGTACTGAAACAACTATCACAGTTAACAAAGGTATGATGATAAAATATTTTTCTTATTTATAAAATTTAAAAGAGTTTTTATAGTTATTAAATAATTTTTTAACATTACATGTTTTTATATATTAAATTATAATTCAACAATATAGAGCATAATTATCCACCAAAAGCAAATGCTGGATCTGATGTCATTATTCAACTTCCTAACAATTCTGTTGTGCTTCGTGGAGACAAAAGTACTGATGATAAAGTATGATCAATTAAATTTTAATTTTTAACTCTTTATCAAATGTTAGAAAATATTTGTGCATCAATTAGTGGTATTATGTAAACTAAATGATATGTGTATATGTAAACTATATGGTATATGTGGATCTAGCCAATTTTATGGCTGATCACTTTTACAGATAGACACCACATTTCACTCAATGTATGTACACATTTTTCCCAATTCCTCATCAATTATGATTTCATTAATAACTTTTGTTTCTTTGTATATAAATTAGCAGCAGTAGACCATTATCTCAGTTACTTTGTTACTTTTAAAATAACATATCTAAATGACTTTTTTATTTGATTATTTTATTTGAATGATTTTTTTTAGTCAATCCTTACATATGAGTGGAGAAAAACATCAGATAGTCCAACATGTGATATGCAAGTATGATCAAAACTTTAAGATAGTGTTGAGAATGTTTGAAATAGTTTTTCAAATAATATATATTTTTAGGGTTCAGATAAACCGTTGCTTCATGTGTCTCGTTTAACTGTTGGAACATATGTATTTATTTTAAAAGTAACAGATGCAGAAGGTCTGTCTGATGAAGCTCAAGTCAAAGTTATTGTTCTAGCAGAACATAATACAAATCCTGTTGCTATAGCAGGAGACAATTTGGTAATTTTTCAATGCATGTTTATCATATTTATTAAGTTATAAATATATTTAAATAGTTGTAAATATCTAGTTCTAAGTTATTATTATTATTTTTTTCTTCAATACTTTTTTGATGAATTCAATCTGAACTTTTTTTAATTAAGATTATCAAAAAAAAATTTAAAATTGTAAATAGTGAACAAGTGATAGAGTGAACAAGTTCACCCAGAAACTCATGAAATGGTTTAAATTTTTACTTAGAATAAGATAATTTTAAAATTGGGGCTAGTTTCTTTCAGAATAAAATTAGTTTTGTTGTTGATGTTTTTTACTCGTCTTACAAAAAAAAAAAAAAAAAAAAAAAACTTGAACTAAAGTGTCTTTTTTTATGTTATATATATTAAAATAAATAAATTAATAGTAATAATATATTATCAATTTATGTTTACATGAAGTTCAGAAACTCAAAAGGTATTGTAAAATAAGAAAATAAAAATAGATTCTTATTTTATAATTTTTAAGACAAGTTTCTAAACCACTGTTGCTCCACAAAATTTAATTAAAAAATTACTTCAAAAATAAAATAAATTCTATACTATTGTAGGAGCTTGTCTACCCCGACGATTCAACAACACTCGATGGCTCGTTAAGCAGAGACAACTCAATGATTGTATCTTACCAATGGGAAGTCCTAAGGTTTTATTTTCAACTTTCATGCAAATATTTTTATGTGTTATGTTAACAATTTTCTATAATAATGGGAAGTTTTTCACTTCTTTTTTACTCTGGAAACCTTAAAAATCTGGTATGTACATGTCTGTAACCATGTAAACCATGTCCGGTAAGTGCATGACTGTAACCATGTAGATGTACTCACAGTGTTCAAAGTCCTTGTTCATAAAATGTTATTAAGTATTTTTTCAAGAAATATACAATTGAATTTAATAGTTTCCAAATGTAAATTTATTAACACATACAAATAAAAACTCTTTGAAAAAGATATAAAGAAAACACAAATGTTAAGTTTTAAATTAATAACCAGGTTGTATAAAAATTTAGTGTCATTTATGGTAAGCAATTACAGAGCTACAAATTTACTCAGTGGTTTTAATACTATTATTATTATTTTTTTTTTTTTTAATATCCATTAAATCCATAAATCAAAGAAATCACTAATCCAAAATGCTTAAAGGTTTAAATAAAGATATTGCATGACATCCAAAAACATTTCATCCAGTTGTTTAATCTGTATGTCTGGATTTTATTGCAAGTTAAACACTTTTCTTTTTGTCAATTAGTGTTTAACTTGAATTTGTTTAATATTAGATGTGTCTACAACAAATCAATATTGTCACTTATTATAAAAAGAAACACAAATAATTTCTATCCTGAAAGTATTATTGAATTACTTATTAGATAATTATTACTCAGTAGTGTTTCTGTTATGGTAATGCCAAATGTAATTAAGCATGTAAGATTATGTTCATCATGAGAAGTGTTTTGTTACATTTAAGTGATTCTTATTTCGTTAGATTGGTGAAACTGAAATGACAAAGTACACAGAGTTAACTTCACTTTAGGTTATATGACAACTCCCTGAGTATTAATAAAACATGATACTAAATTCATCATAATCTCATAAGTTTGGAATTAAAAAGTATGATTGAAAGTAAATGAAATGTCAGAGTTAATTATTATATTTCAATATTTCACACAGAACAATTATTGTTATTCAAGTTACATTTATTACTATTTTAGTGGTCCATCATTACCAAAACTTGTGAATGCTGATAAACCAAAAGTGTTAGTTTCAGATTTGAAACCTGGTACTTACAAGATGCAATTGACAGTGACAGATGATAAAAATTTGAAAGGAACAGACATAGTCGAAATTCGTGTTAAAAAAGGTAAAGTTCAATTTATCAAAATCTTTAATATCATTTCTTTTTCTCTCTCCATTTTTTAATGTTTTTCTTTTTTTTTTTTTTTTTTTTTATATTCTTGATTAAAGTGTTGTTTGTTGAAACTAGTTTACATTTTAAAAGATGTTTTTAAATAACTAAAAATTATTTATGTACATGTTTTATATTTAATATATTAGACCACAATGAACCACCTGTAGCCAACGCTGGTGAAGATCAAGTTATTTATTACCCAGAACGCTCCATTGCTTTAGATGGCACAAAATCACACGATGATGAGTTCATTGTAAAATATCAATGGATTCGAGCTGGTTTGAGTCCTGCAGCTGGTGTATGTTATTTGTTGTTCATCAGTTTCAAATGAAAATTTTTTTCCATAATTTTTGTTAACTTGCAAAAAAATAACAAATGTAAATGGCATACATTTAAGCACATGGCAAATGTCTAGAAATAAAAAGTTTCAAATATTCAAATTAGTTTAATATATTTTAAGTTTAAAATATTATAAGTAATATTAGTTACAAATCAAAATATGAACAAAGATAATATAAGATAGTATATATAGAAATGAAATTTGAATAATTGTAAGATAAGCATTTCAAATAAGATATTTTTAAAGATAAAGTCACAAAACGGTTTTTTTATACAGGGTGTCCCAAAATTAACGCAAGATTTGAATTGAATAGAAAACACAGTTTTTAGTCTTTTGATTGTAATTTTTTATTGATTCATAAAGTACATAGGATAGGATTATTTATGGAATAACACATCAGAGAAATAGCCTCCGCGGCTTTGCATACACATATGCACTAGTTTGTTGAAATTTTCCATGACCGTTCTGCATAAGTGTGGCTGAATTTTGTTGATGCAAGGTTGAATCTCCTCCTTTAATGCACACGGCTTGTTGACGTAGAAATGTGAACCCCATAAAAAGAAATCTAATGGTGTTAAATCACACGATCTAGGGGGCCAATTCTGATCACCAAAATGAGAGAGTACACGACCTGGAAATGTCTCATGCAGTAATTGAAGTGTTTCACAGGCTTTATGGCATGTGGCACCGTCTTTTTGAAACCACATATTGGCCACATCAATATCATCCAATTTTGGCAAAAAGAACTGTGTTATCATGTCGTGATATCGAGCACCAGTAACAGTCACTGCTTGACCAGCCTCATTTTCAAAAAAGTATGGTCCAATTATGCCTCAGACCAAAATGCACACCAAACAGTAACACATTGTGGATGCATTTGTTTTTCGACAATCACATGTCATTCTGTAGGTTTTCAGAACCCCAAAAGCGACAATTTTGGCAATTAACAAAGCAATCAAAGTGAAAATGTGCTTTGTCGCTAAAGATGATTTTGCTTGAAAAATCAGCATTCATTTGTTGTTGCTCAATAATCCATTCAACAAACTCTCTTCGCTGTGCATGGTCATTGGGCTTCAGTAGTTGTGTTAATTGAATTTTGTAAGCATGGAGACACAGATCTTTAGTGAGTATACGGTGTAGAGAGCTTCTTGACATTTGCAATTCTTGTCCACAACGCCGAATTGAGGTTCATGGATTGTCATAAATACTCGCATGCACCCTTTTATTAACCCTAAACTGTCAACTGTCAATTTATTTTGTTTTTAGTGTTGTCAAGACTGTACTGCATAAATGGCGGCAAATTCAAATCTTGCGTTAGTTTTAGGACACCCTGTATAATGAAAAAAAATTGCCATAATAACATTACAATAAAATAGTAGCAGTAGTAGGAGTAGCAGTAGCAGTGGTAGTAAAAGTAGCAGTGCTAGTGGTAGTAGGAGTAGCAGTGGTAGTAGGAGTAGCAGTAGTAGTAGTAGCAGTAGTATTTAGATTTTTATAATTATTTTATAAAAATGAATTCATTTAATTTTCAAAAGAACCCCTATTTACAACTGCCTACCCCTCCCCTGATTGGGCAGTATGGGGTACCTTTCTATGGGTCTGTATATGAAATATGACCAGATTAGTGAATGTACAAAAGAAGTTTTTTCATTTAAGTTTAAATTTACTTTTAAATGTCTACTTCATAATTTTAGTCAACGGTAAAGCGATTGACTCTGCATACTTTTTAAATATAGATGAATTTAATGCATCTACTCCACACAATTTATTCACATCAATTTGTCTTTTGAAAACTAAAATAGCCCAATCATGTCTTTAGATTTTTTTCATCATTTCATATTCCTTCTTCACATATCACAGCCAAATGAATTTTGCTGCTTTTATATGTAAAATCTTCATGTTTATTTTTACTTTTTCGAAAGATTGCTTTTAAAATTTTTTTAGCAACATAATTTCTAATGAAAAACATATAATTACCGCATAGTTTAAAGTTATCCAATCACATAGCACTTTTTAAAAAAAAGAGATAAAGATATTTTTCAGCAAGCAAAGCATCACAAATAATATATAAAAGTTTAGAAAAATAAGTAAACAATATTTATCGATTAAAAGTAAGTTCATAGTTATTTTTTATAATGTGTTGTTGGTGACTATAAATAAATGTCTAAATTAGAATTAAATATTAAACATTTAGATTAGAATTGGTAACTTTTTTGTATGATTTACAGTGTTTTATATTACATTCCTACATTTAAAATATATTCATGCTTGTAAATGCGAGAGAAAAAAATACAACGATATCTAACAGTTGTTTATGTTTTATTTATTTTATTGTACTATTTATTTTATAAAAGAACCTGTGTGTGTGTGTGTGCAATCAGTGAAATAGCTTTCATGGTCTGCATACCATGCCAATAAGATTACCAATCCAAATATAAATTTATTAATAGTTTCATTATTGCCACTATTTCAGGATTCTTCCAATAGTGTTGCCATGATCCGACACTCAATAGCTTAATGAATGTAATTAAAAAATCTACCCATCATCTTTATCCTAAACAGATCCCTGTTATTACATTTGATCAATCACTGTATGCTATTGCTAAAACTATTCAATGGAACTGGCCTGATTAGTATGAAGATAAATTTGTTGTTATGATGGGTGGCCTGCTTATAGAAGTAGCTAGTCTTAAAACACTTGGTAGCTTATTAAAGAGAAGTGGCTTGGTTGAGGCTGTTACTGCAGCTGGAATTGTAACATCAGGCACCACTGAAGGTCTTTTGTCTGCATCCCATGTAAAATGTTGTCAATATATAAATGAAATTTCTGTTTCTTCTATTCATATACTACAGTATCAGACATACAAGTCATATTGTAGTTTGCTAGATGATGGTGTTCAACCGTTGCCTTTCACTAACTGGTGTGTAAAGCAAATGGTTCATCCACAGTTATTTTACACAGTTATTTTACACAGTTAGCTTATTGGAGTAAAGTCAAAGAAATGCAGCTTATTCTGTTTATGTTTATCAGGTCTCTGTACTTCAAGCTTTCATCTATACTTAGATAACTTGACAAAACTGTTGCCATGGTTTTTTTCACTTGATTAACTTGATCAAACTCATTATGTTCATTATACTCTTGATCAAACTCATTATGCTCGATGGTTATCTGTCCACATTTGAGACATGGTTTGTTTTTTGCATAATTGTCCATCAATATTAGCTGCATTTAACAGGGACAAATTTACAGTTAAAAAAACTATACAAAAAATTTCAGCAATGGCTATTTATCAAAATCATGAACAGTACAATGCTGCAGTTAAAGCCAATGGTGGTGCTATTGGCTTAACACAAGACGAACACGCATAACCTCATTGGATAATTGCAGGACCGGAAGTATATAGGCTTGAGAAAGAATTTCTATTTGAGATGCGTGGGGTTAATGCAGATTTTAAATTTGATCAACAGGAAAATATTCAGACAGCTTTCAAACATAATGCAGATGTTCTAGTTGATACATTAGTTGATATGGGCAACCTATTTCAAGATGACAGTGAAGATCTTGTGATATTACATAGCAGGCATATTGTGAGCTGTGCTGCAGCCAATATTATATCAATTCATGATGTAAGCCAAACTTAGTACAAGGAATTTGTTCAAGATCATTTTGTTAACAGAACTTCTACTGTATATGCACCCCTAAAATGCAACAATCTGTTCCCATTTACAAATCGGCACTCAGCAATCATGTATAATGTTACCAAATGCTTGAAATCAATGCAAAGCGACTGTGATTTATTTTCCAGATTATACATTGGTTGTCAAACTGGAGACAGGAGTTTAAAAACATTTTTTGAACATGGAAATCAGTCATATCACCCTTCAATCTCTGAATTTGGGACTCAGTTTAGAACTAAGTCTGATTTAATTACATGCTTAGCAAAAATCATCCAATGCAACACTGAACTAAATATTAATTCTTCTACTCTACATATAATATGATGGCTCTTAATAGATCTGCAATTATTCAGTTCTTAAAGCCTGGTATAGCTAAGACATTTGCAACTTATGCATCAGACATATTTCTGCCTTATCTTCATTTACAAATTGCTACAACAAAACAATTAGATTTGGGACACCTATAAAGCTCAAAGCTTGAAATCTGCTACATGTGCAAAGCAAGGAACTGGAGCCAGAGTACGTGTTGGACCTCATGTGCCTGTCCCACATAAATGGCAGGAATTTCTGAAAAAAACAGCATGATCTACTTGGTCTTCTTTCAATGATGTAACTGATGCATTTTGTGGCACTTTCTGCAGCTCATGATCTAATAACTGAAGAAAAAATGTTGTTGAAAGATTTGTCATTTTATTGTATGACCAAACTGCTGAGTAAACAAGTGTAAATTCTGCAAGGCAGTATTTTTTTACTCAAAAGAACTGGCAGATTGGCAATGTTCCACCCGCGCATGATGCACTAATGCAGCATGTGAAGCGCTCAGGGTATCAGGCGCATATTTGGAGTCAAGCATTAATAGTATCATCAACTTTACATAAGCCAAGTGACTGGGGTTAGAAGCTAGAAGGAAGTGATTGGCATTCAATACGGATAACATTTCTTGAAACTGATAAATGCTGTCCAGAGTCAATTCAGTGCGGATGCAAGACAGGTTGTACAATACGCTGCAGAAAATGTGTTTGTATCAGCTTAAAATGTACTGCTCTTTGTAGCTGTCAAGAAGAATACCAGAGATTAAAAAGCAGCAATCTATTGATTAATATAGACTAATACGCTTATAAAAGTTGTTTTGGATTCTTATCTGCTGTAAATTTTTCACTCAGATTAGGGTTTTTAGAGAAAAACTAAACTTGCAAAAATTTCGCATCTTTATCTACCGTAATAGAATTGTTATTGCGGAAGTTGCACATGCGAAAATGCACATTCCGTAACGCACTATACGAAAATATAAAAAAATAAAATTCCGTAATAAAGCATTGCAAAAGAAAAGTTGCGAAACAAATCATTTTGTAAGAATACTTACGAAATATTTCCTTACGGAAGGAACATTCCAGAATGTGCAATTACAAAAAAGGCGCAAAAGATTTTATGTTACAATATATTTAAGACATTAACTGTTAATAGTTTAAATAATTAAATAATAAATAATAAAATTATAAAAAAATGTTGTTAAATGATTTTTCAAGTGTTTATACAAATATATCTAATATATATATATATATATATATATATATATATATATATATATATATATATATATATATATATATATATATATATATATATATATATATATACCGTAAAATCTCGTTAAGTTGGACTCTCAATGGGAACATTTTAATATATATAAATTAATGTTCCCATTGAGAGTAAATTAATAAATATATATAAAACATTAAAAATATGTTTTATATATATTTATTATGGCACGTTTCGTAAGTTTATTTCCGTTAAAAACTCTTTTGTATGTTGTGATGCAAAATACTTTCGTTTCGAAAGAAATTTTGCTTTTTATCAATATTTCTAAATATAAAACCATAAAAATTTAATATGTTGTTATACTGAAAATTAAAATTCATTATAAACATTTTGGGATTTAAAGATGTTAATTTTTACAATTAAAATCAGTCTGGCAAACAAATATTCTTTATAGACTTCTAAAAGTCGTTTGGCGAAAATGCTTGTTTTGCAAGTGCGACTTCCGAAGCTGCAACTTTCGTATGTTGCAAAATAGTTTTTTTTTGTATGTCAATTTGCAAAATGCTAAATTTCGGTAGTAACCTTTGCAAAATGAATATTGGCGATTTTAAATGTTTTGTAACATTCGGTACGAAAAAATGTAATTCCTCATTCTCAATCTCCTTATGAAAGAATGTTGTTTTTCCGGAATTGCACAAAATCCTCCGGATAACAACCCTAACTCAGATACAATCTTGTTACTAATATTAAAATAAAAATAATAATAATAATAAATTTCAAGGATGGCAGGTGGGGGGCGTGTTTCTTGGGGAAGAGGGCCATGCACCACTCCCCTCCCCTCTCATTGATGCTTCTGCAATCAATGTATACTTACTATGATCTACCTTCTCTAAGATTTTGTCAAAGATTAGTTAAGTGGATTAAAACTTTATTAAGGTTTGTTTAAATCCTAGATGGCAGTAACTGCCCTCTTAGATTTAAGCCAATTCTGGTCATGCTGCGCTGTGCCACCATATCTTAAAAAAATCAGCATAACTTTTATGTTAATAAAAATTTCATGATTTTAACTACTTCTGCACAATTTCAGCACAAGTAGATAAAGTCATGAAATGATTTTATCTACTTGTGAAAATCATGAAATCAAACTCAAAAATAAAACAAAATCATGATATTGTTTTATTTTTGAGTTTGTAAAACAAAGAAAAAAACTACATTCTTGACTTTTTTCTACAAACAAGTCATATAAATAAATAAAAAATACAAATATATACTTTTTTCTACGAACTTTTTTTTTTTACTCATAAATTGATTTTATCAATATTTTCACTTATTTGTTGGTACTCTGCTCGTGTATAATCAAAATGGTACTTGAGAATTTTTTCTTGTATACAATTAAGTGCAAATTTGATACTTGAAACAAAATTTACATGACTAATATTTCCATTGGATTCAAGTAATTAAACACTTTTAAACTTGAAAAAGTTAGACATGGAAATATAAAAAAAAAATTATATTATCAACAAATGTTTTTTCAGTTGACCTAACCCAAAATATCTTTAATTTATGTAAGCAGTAAAATTTTGTTATTTTGAGTTTTAACACAAAATATCTTTGATTTGAGTAAAATTATTTTGAGTTTTAGTTAAGACTTAATAACTCATCAAAACAAAATAATAAAACAAAAAAACAAACGTATTGACTGTATTTACATTAAAATACAAATTTAAATCATTTTTAAAAAGTTAACATTGTGATCTGGTCAAATATTTATTTACCTGCTAATAGTGGGTTTTGCTTGTAAAAATGAGTTCTGTGTGTAAAAGTGGTTTTATGCTAAAAAAGTAAAGGTAGAATTTTTTTTTTTTTTTTTAGTATATAAAGTATTAACATATTTTTTTCAGGATGTTCTTAATGGTAGCGATAAATCTCCAGTTCTTTATCTGGCTAATTTGGTATTAGGAAGATATCTTTTTGACCTTGTAGTGACTGACAATAGAGGTTTAACTGGAAGAGACTCTGTTGTAGTACTAGTTAATGAAGGTTTCGTTTGTTTTTAAATGATTAGCAAATATAATATGATAATTAATATAATGTTATCTAAATTTCTCTCTATATATATAAATATATGTGTGTATGCATCCAGTGAATATAAAATTTAACAATATAAATTTTACCTAATCTCATGTTAACAGAATTACAATGAATATCTTTTTTGGGAAAAAAACCAAATTATTATATAATATTTTAAGTGCTAATCAAACTTTTTATCTATTATGTTATTTGCTTAACAACAAAAGTACTAATACAATACGTACTAAAGTGACAAAACTTTTTTTAACTGTAAAGTTAAAAATTATTAAATAAAAACTTAAATCCCATTTTTAATCAGTAATGTATTTTTAAATAAATGTGTTTTATTTTTTTTTATAATGGAAAGTAAAAAAGCTATTGTAATTTTACACATAAATATTTTTCTTTTTTTTGATAAAAACAGATCCAAAAAGTGATGGTCTCGTGGAAATTTATTTCGATGCTGATGTGAGTTCATTCATGGAAGATCACAAGGTTTTATTTTTTTAAATTAATTTAAATTAGTTTGTAATATCAACTAAATAATGACAACAGTTGATCAGGGTAACACATGACAACAGTTGATCAGGGTAACACATGACAACAGTTGATCAGGGTAACACATGACAATAGTTGATCAGGGTAACACATGACATTAGTAGATCAGTATAACACATATTGGCTGTAAATTGTTTTAAGTTTATTTCAGTTTTTAAAGACAATTCATGTTTAAAGGTTAATCAAGCCTTTAACAAAAAGCTTAAAATGTCCTCGCAAAAAGGAGGATGATTTTTTTTTAACACCAGAAGCCTAAATTTTTTGTATGCTATACAATTAATGTATGTATACAATTTTGCTGCAAGATCATTAGGCTAAGTTTTAAAGGGTAATTAGAGAAATATTTGTTTTTTTAAACTCAAATATAAAAAAATATTAAGAAATTAAGCGTAAATAAAAACTTATTATATATTTATATATATATATATATATATATATATTTATAAAAAATTATAACTTGCATGAATGTGGTTTGAAAGTATAGCTAAATCAATGTTAAAATTGTTTTTTATTAAAAAACATTGACTCCAAAACATGACCTTGGTTGATAAAGTTAGTGAGAAATGTCTCAGATCTATTTAAGAAATAATGTTGTCGATCTTCAAAAAATAAAAAAGTCAATGTAACTAAGTGGTACAGTGGCTTAGCCATTGTACCACTATCAGATTTAAAGTAGTTTAAGATAATCATAAAATAAATTTTTGAATATATTTATTTTATTTTTATTAAGTTAAATTACAGTATCATTGTATCTTATATAAAATACATGAATAGGGGAAAGTGAGGCAACATGGCAAACGTTTTGAAAGCCCTGAGTTATTGAAAAACTATAAGTCGTGAAGCCATAATACTTTCTCAGTATGTTTATGCTATTAAGTTCTTTCATTGCCTGCATGAATTTTCAGTTTAAAAATATAACAATTTGAAATAAATATTAAAATAAAAAGTTCATAAATTTGTCATCTGGTCACGTGACCGGGCCAAGATGACTTATTATGCAATTTTTACCTCCAATTTTATAAAATTTTAAAAACTGCCAATAACTCTAATTAAAGTAACAAAAAATAAACACAAATTGCTAAAACTATTTCTAAAGAAGTTAAACTTGAAGGACACCAACCATTATGAGAAACCGAAAGTGAGGAATTTTTTTTTAAGCGCAAGAAGTAAACATATTTGTATAAAATGGCGTTATAATATTTCAAAAAACCATTTGGTGTTTTAAAATACAAGATGCAAATACAGTTTCGTTTTCACCCAATTTTAAAATTTTTTGTTGAGTTGTTATATGAAAACCCATCTTGCCCCATTCGCCATGTTGCCCCGCTTTCCCCTAATATAAATTATTTTAGTATTATAAAATTATATTTATATTATTTTAGTATTACAAAAGATACTTTATTAAATTTTTGTATTTATTAGTAATAATTAAACATTAAAAATGTTGTTTCTCTTTATTATTTTTTTTTTTAATTTTTATAGAAACAACTTCTTAGACAAATTTCTGTTATTCTTGAAGTTGGTGAAGACTTAGTCCATTTAGAAGGATTGCGTAGCGTTGGTTATGGAAATAGCATTATGCTTTTAATTTATGTAGTTGATCCTAAGTTAGAGCGCATTATGGATGGTAAATATGTGGCAGACTTATTAAAACTAAAAATTGGGTTTGGTGGTAAACTTTTTGACTATACAATGGAGAAGGTAGAACCTTATAGTAAGTGTTTTTATTAGTTTTATAGTTGGTTATTTTATATTTTAATTGCTTTTAAAACTTTTTATTTTTAACTTTAGCAAATGCTAATAATTTTTTTATATATAGTTTTCATGAGATGTATGTATTTATGGTATGTAATGGGTTATAATGTACTTTAATGCATATGCACAAAAAATCTATAAAATGTTTTTTTTTATTATTTATAAAAAATTTATTAAAAATGAGGTTAAATACAGCAGAGTAAGCATCTTTTGTGAAGTCACCTCAGAAAAAAAAATTTTTTTTTTTAAATGTTCATATAAAATTGTGAATCATTTCAAAAAATAAGAAATAATTCGAAGCATAATCAAAGATAACTTTAAAAAGCTTGGTAATATTTTTTCTGATAAAAAGTGTTTTCGTCATCTGGACTAGAAAAAAAAAAGTCAAAAAAAAGAGACTTGTCAAACAAGGATAACATGTTATTAATTATTTTCTTTCCTTAACTGATGCTTTTCTGTGTTATCTGTAATTTTTTCTCTCCAAGTTTTCTTTTTCTCCTGAAACTGCTAACTCTTCAAGGAAGATTAAGGTAGTTTGGGCATGTAGAGCTTAAAGACTCAATTAACTGATATCAGTCGATTGGGTCTTTATGCTCTACATGTCTAAACTAGCTTATTCTTCCTTGAAACCAAAGAAGCCATTTTCTGGCTTTTTTTCATTTTCCAGAAAAACAAGATTCATCACATGTTTATTTTAGAGAGCAATCAAGTTCTGTAGTACACTCCTGTAAAACCATGACAAAAACATTGCCATAAGTTGTAGAAGAGTTTATGCCGGATATAACTTTAGCAACAGAGGCTGGAATGGTTTTGATATCTAACAATGCATTAATTTTATTCTCTGAGATGTCAAGAAGAGTTGATTATTAAGTTCAAAACATGAATTAAGAAAAATGTTTTTAAAAATAGTTCTGTCTTGTGTCTGTTCTTGGTAGTAATTAGATCATACCCTTGTATGAAAGGTAGAATGTCAGACATGTGTTTGTTAATGACACTATTCAGAATTTTTGATTCTCAATAACAAGTATTCTCTAGAATCTAACTCTGTGATAAAATGAAAGAATTTGTAATCTGAGATTGATGGACCTTAGGAATAGGAAATACACTTTTGCATCAGTTTTTATATCAATACAATGATAAAAAGGGAAAAATTTTCTTGAGAGTTGTTCTAATGAAAAAGATGAAAGAAATAATTACAATTAAAAAATTTTGCCCGTCTGGTTTTAGGAGATGACACAGGATGTACAAATTTTAGCTGAGACAAAGGACATCAGCTAAAAACAAAGAAAATTGCTATGTACAAAATGCGCCATGATGAATAAATGTAGAAGAAGTGAAAAAATAAATTTAGGTAAAACCATGGTTTCAATTGGTCATAGTTTCCATGGTCAGAATCATCTAATGGAAAATAACGAGAATTTAGAATCAGATAGACTCAAATAAACTGAATAAAAGATTGAAAAATAATAATTTAGGCTTTATTTCAAGTACTTGCCTAACTATATACAATATTATATACTGCCCCACCCCCCACTATTTCCCCTCAAATAAAATTTCATAATACAAGCCTGTAGTTAGAGCTTGTAGTTGGAAAAACAAAAAAACTCTCTGAGTTTTACACCCTTTTGCGTTCTTTTGCACCCCTTGCAACCCTGGATAAAGTATGAGTTTTTAGAAATTTTGGCATTATTAAGTAACATCAAACTTAAAATTTAATTTATGACTGTTGAATCTTATGGACTTGTAAAAATTAAATATTTTTTATTATACATTATTTAATTTAGTCATTTACCAACACATAATTATAAACTATTATCATTGTCTTTTAATTTTCAAATAGTTAATTTTTAGCATAATTTTTAAAATTGTTCTTATGTAAATTTAAACCTGTTAAGATATAACTAGTTAGTAACTATGCATAGTTTAAAATAATTTTATAAGATAACATCATGTTAATACACTGCTTCTTATAAAAACTATGATTTCCATTGATAATAATAATTCAAATGCTGTTGGGAGTTCTTTATACTGTCGTTTAATTTTTTTTTTTTTTTTTTCAAATTGGTGTCAATTTTTTTGAAATAAGTACATCCTTTACTCTTTGCATTAAAATGAATTGTTTAACATTTCTAAACAGCTCCTAATATCTCAAACAAAAATAACTATTTGCCAGAATCATAGAAAAATTAAAAATCAACAATTACATCAATTTTATGTTTTTATCTTTTACTCCATCCAGTGTCTATATTTTATTATATTTATCCATCATTAAGCTCCATTTTATTAGTAGCATCAATTATAAATGTGTGGTAGAAATCTTTAGTTCAAAAAGTAACTATTTATAAGAATTATGGGTAAACAATAATTAGTATGAACATAATGTTCAAAGTTTATTAACAAAAATCTCAAATTTTATTTTCTACCTAATTGTCAAACTTAAACAAACATAATACATAAATTGCCAATCATATGTTTGCACATAAACAAACATAATACATAAATTAAACATGTGTACTTTTAATCATACATTCACCAGTGTAAAGTAAGAATACTAAAGATTTACACCCTTGTCCATCAGTGGTATCCAACTCTTTGAAGCAACTTTTACCCCGTTATCCCTGTTAAGCAGTACTGGGGATTGTTTAACCTCCTGAGATATTTGCTCATAGTTAATTTTAAGCAATTTCCTTATTTTCTATTCACGATAGTTGTTATTTATAGATAAAGTTTTTGGGTACAGCCAGTCAAATATCCCATGGCATTCTTTGCAATGCTCAGTTGCTCCAGAAGCATGCCAATTGCCATTCATGCTATTAGCTTGGTGTTCTATGCTTCTTTGCAAAGTTCTCTTTTTTGTTTTCCCAATATAAATTCCCCAAAACGTTTCCTCAAATAAAAAAAGAATAAAAAGAAAAAGAAAAATTAGTTAGTATGATGCTGTTTTTGATGTTTTATAAATAATTATATACTATTAATATATATTAGTATAAATATTTTTAGTTTGCCGTAACACTTGCTCTGGCCATGGTTATTGTGATAAATTAACCAAACAATGTGTATGTGATAGCTTCTGGACTTCAAATATTTTAAAATCTCATTTTGGAGAAAAGGAAAGTAATTGTGGTAAGAATTTTTTATTTTGTGAGTATTGCACTTATTTTTTGTAATATTTCATTTCAATTTATGTTTTATAATAAAATGATTAAGGGTAAGCAGAAAACATCTTGTGATAAAGTATTGTTTGTAGGGCATTTTAGTATTCAGTAAACCAACTCACGCATAAATATATATACAATACAATCTCTCTAATTCGAATTTCCTTAATTTGAAAACCTCCATAATTCGATTAAATTCGATAAAAGTCACTGTGAAAAGCACTTAAGAAAAAAATCAACTTTCTATAATTCGAAAATCTCTTTAATTCAAACTTTTATTTTTCCCCATAAAATTCGAATTAGAGAAATTTTACTGTGTATATATATATATATATATATATATATATATATATATATATATATATATATATATATATATATATATATATATATATATATACTTTGTGTCAAAACTATTTGTGACAGATTTTATTATACAGCAGCGCTGTATAATAAAATCTGTGACAGATTTTTTATACAGCAGCGCTGCTATCTGAAAAATCAGAATTTTTTGAATTCTTAGGATAATGTTTCTTTAAATAATTTACTATTTGTGTCTGAACTTCATAAACAAAACCTATGTTATGGTATACTAGAAATATACTTTATATGTTTTTCTCCCAGAATACCTCTCAAGTTTTTTAACTATCACAGTATTACTAACAGTATTACTGATGAATCGCAACACTCGATCTCAGTCTTCTTTACTTTATGTCTACTTAGATTATCATTCACTACTGACCTTTTATGGAAACCATACATAGAATCATTACAAGGGTAGATGTTTACTGAAAACAACTATTGCAGTATTATCATCAATAAAAATATTAATAAAATTTTAAAAATGGTAACCTTCTAATTGAGTTCTCTTCTTTAAGTTTTCTTGAATTGTTATTCACTACTGACCTCTCATGGTAACTTTGGAATTGATTGTATATGAAAACCATATACAATCAATTCCAAAGTTACCATCTAAGGTTGCTTCTTTTTATCATATCTCTACTTCTGCAAATCTTTTATTTGTCCTTGTATAAAATATTTTTGTCATATTTGGGCTTTCATCTTCTAATGATGCTCTTTCTCTTTTAGATAAGGTCCAAAAACACATTGTAAATGTAGTTGGAACTGTTTTATATGCCAAGCTTGAGCCACTCTTCCATCATCATAAAGTTGCATCTATCATAGCCACTGCTCAAACGAGCTATCATATCCAGTTCCATCAACCAAAACTCATTCTCGCTTGACTTGTCATTCAGCAAAGCCTCATTCCTCAAGCCTTCGTTTACTGTATCTGCCCCTGCATGTCCCTAAAAACTTTTATTTGTCTAGTTTTTTTCCTTGCACTTTAATTCTTAGGAACTCTCTGCTATATTCAAGTTTTCTTGACTCATACAAGCTTCAACTTTTCAAGTCTTCTGTTAACCGTTTCCTTTCTCTTTAACTTTATTTATTTTTTTTTCTAGTAACTCCCAATTAGTTAGTGAATTAGCTTTTAAAAAAAAAAGCTGGAAGTATATATTGCTAAGAGAGTTCCTAAAATTCATGAGTTTTTTCCTTAAAATGTATTTTTTTTTTTTTTTTTTTTTTTTTTTTTTTTTTTTTTTTTTTTTTTTTTTTAATCGAAGTTTTTATTTTAAACAGATATTATAACATAAATAAAAAATGCGTTTTTGGCATTTTAAGTCTATTTAGAACTTTGCGAATAAGAAAAAGTTAAAAGGTAATTTTTTTTTTGGAACACCTTAAAAAAAAAAAATAATTCTTATCATCTTCTGATATAAATCAAAATTTAAAAATTCCTCTTTGTCTACTGATAAAAAGCAAAATAGTTTTAATTCAAGCTAGTTATTTTCTTTAAATAAAGGAAAATCCAAAGTTACTATTACTTCAATAGCACCGTTGGATTTTATCTTGAATCACAAATGTTTAGAGTTCGGAAATGTCAAATAATGCAGCAATCTTTTGCTAAATTTTCTTTTTGTTGCTTTTGGCTTGACATTTTGCAATTTAGGAATGAGTTGTTAACTGAAAATTGATGTGAAACTAGCCTACACGCTTTTTCTTTTTTTTTAATACTATATGCATTTAAGTTGAGTGATATTTTTCTCAGGTTTAAAAGCAACTTTTAAAATAGTGTTTTGTTCAATGAAATTTGATGCAAGTTAATAAATATTAACAGTTCTATGCCCTTTCTTGGAGTTCATTATATACAGAGGTAGAAAGTAACAATTTACTATTGCTACTATAATTGAGTAGTTTTTTTTTTAGTGTACTTCTACTTTTAAAATTATTTTTTAAAGCTTTTACTTTTACTTAAGTATTTTTTGTTGAAAGTATTGTACTTTGCTACATTTTTTAATTTATTAGTATGTTTGTAGTTAGTCTAACCTTTCTGTTTTAAAAAAAATGTTCTAATGAATCCATTGTTCATGCTATATTTATTGGTTGTAGTTTTATTTTTCTTTGTTTTTTACACTAGAATTTTGCAAATAAAAGTTTTAAAATAGTGTTTTTAAAAGCAACTTTTAAAATAGTGTTTTGTTCAATGAGATTTGATGCAAGTTAATAAATAGTTATATATATATATATATATATATATATATATATATATATATATATATATATATATATATATATATATATATATATATATATAGTATATATATATAAAGTTATTTTATATTTTTATATATTTATATATATTCTATAGTATATATATATTATAGAACACATATATACATACTATAGAGTATATATATATATATATATATATAGCATATATATATAGCATATATATATATATATATATATATATATATATAGCATATATATAGCATATATATCTATATTGCTATCTTATTAGAATGGAGTATCCTATATTTATCTGTCACAATATTCGGTGTTTTTCTCTTTTTTGTTGCACTAGAATTTTGCATCCCACCCAGGCTGTTTAAAAGCAACTTTTAAAATAGTGTTTTGTTCAATGAACTTTGATGCAAGTTAATAAATAGTAATAGTTATATATATATATATATGTAATATATATATATATATATATATATATATATATAGTTATTTTATATTTTTATATATTTATATATATTCTATAGTATATATATATTAAAGAACGCATATATACATACTATAGAGTATATATATACATACTACAGAATATACATATAGATATATATGCTATATATATATATATATATATATATATATATATATATATATATATATATATATATATATATATATATGTACAGTATATATATATGTATAGTATATATATATGTATATATACTATACATATATATATACTATATATATATATATATATATATGTAGTATATATATATATATATATATATAGTATATATATATATATATACTATATATATATATATATATATATATATATATATATATATATATATATATATATATATATATATATATATATATATATATATATATATATATATATATATATATAGTATATATATATAAAGTTATTTTATATTTATATATACTCTATAGTATATATATATTATAGAACACATATATACATACTATAGAGTATATATATATATATATATATATATATATATATATATATATATATATATATATATATACATACTACAGAATATACATATAGATATATATATATATATATATATATATATATATATATATATATTATTATTATTATTATTATTATATCTTATTAGAATGGAGTATCCTATATTTATCTGTCGCAATATTCGGTGTTTTTCTCTTTTTTGTTGCGATCGCTTGGGGAGTTTGTTTTGTGTTTGCAAGGTATTTTTTAATATAATATATTTTTTATTATATTCACGCTTTGTTATGTCTCTGTATATTTATGTCTTCATCGAAAAACTTAATTTTTAAGAATCCTGTTATTTTACCACATTACATTTATCCAACATAGAATGGTATTACAAAAGAAAACAAAAGCTTAGCTTGAAGTTTACAGATATATCATTTTTATTTTTTCAAAGTAAAAACACTAAATTTTAAGGAAGTGATTTAAAATCATAAAAATAGCCTACTTAAAGGAAATCATTTTTAATTTCTTATTCAAATTCTGTTAATCTCTCAAAACATGTTATTATTAGTAACATAACATAGTGACGTGTACTATTATGACGTACTATTTTTCAAATATTTAAAAGCCCATATACATTATTAAGTTATTTGTCTACTTTTTGAGAAATCTAAGATAACAATTTTTTAGTTGTTACAACTTTAGAAAATTAAACTTTAAAAAATAAACCAAAACTTTTTTTTGATAAGGTATTAGTGCATAATATTGAAGTGTCCGTTAATAAAAGTTTAGATCCCGATAGTGAATCTTATTAAATAACATACATATTTTATATTATATGTATGGTATTATATATCTTTTTATAGATGAACAATGTAAAATTTAATTTTAAGAACGTTAAATTTTTTTAATCTTTTGAGTCATTGTGCTCTCTAATATTTAAACGTCTTTAAATTTGTTGAGTAGAGGTCATAAACATGATTTTATTTTTTGTTGCATTATTGTTTTTTCTTCGAAAATATTCCGTTATCTTCAATATTCAAACTTGAAAATGACATTGATTTAAAACGACAAGTTCATGAAAAGCATCATAAAACAAAGAAATATTTTGTGCGGTTTCTCCTCTTTCTATTCTCTATCTATTTTCTCTACCTAATTAGGTAGAGAAACTAATTCTCTGCCTAATTATTAGAAATTTAACATGCAGCGAGCTTAATCCAAATCAATAATTGGTGTCACCGCAGATTGATCATTGTTGCAACCACAATTGTTATCGTTGTTGGCGACTGACATTTTAAAAAATGTTGCTTTTTTAATATAAAAAATTTAATCAAAAGCCTTTGGATAAGTTGTTTTTTTTTATTACCTTCACTCGTAAAAGGTTCTGCGAAATTTAATTTTTTTATTCTTCCTTCGTTATTAGCTTGCAAATAATAATAAAACAAAAATCAAGTTGCCATACGCAAATCACGTTAAGTGAGTTTGCGCATAATTAAAATTGTTTTTGTTGAGTTTATATCATTTCCACACTCGCGCTCAAAATGAGGGGGTTTCAAACCTTACATGTTCATAACTTTCAAACACCTTAAAATAAAACACCTTAATTTAGTATAAGATAGTAAATTTTAATATTTTCAAATATTAAAATTTACTATTTTATACTAAATTTAAGTCTTAAATGCGAGGGAAATTTAGTCGCTTCCCTCGTATTTAAGCTATGTTTAGGTACTCTTTCTGTTTAGAGTATTCCCAGGCTCCAATAACTGCTTCAAAACATTGTCCATTAGACAACATAAAATACTTAAATTTGGAGTTTTCACAATGCTTGTTATTTAATTATTTTAATGGTATCATTAAAATATTTTTTTTTTAACTTTTTTTGTGAAAAAAAATTTTTCAAAACAAAATTATATTTCTTATCATAGCCATTTGACTTCTGTATTGTTATTTTTATCATTATTTGGTTCTTTATTGTTTTTTTTTAAATATATACAGAGTAAGGAAAATGTTGTTACATCTGATGTTATTTTCACATTACAGTTTTTGGATTTGCATCCCAGATGCAACAAAGCAAAATAAACTTTTTGTGTGTACGCGCTTTATTTTAAAAGCTATTTAAGAGCGTTATAAAGAGATTCTAGCGATTTGCTGTTTTGAAGTCGTAGAAAGCACCAAAGTTAAACTATATTGATTTTGTTTCATATTCAGGTCATCGCTTTATAAAGCATTCCTTATTTTTAAAATATTCAAATGATGGTATAATAAAGTTTTTATGTAATAAAATTATTCACTTAAGAATAATTAAAAGTTCAAAATAGATTAAAAAAATTCCTATTTCGGCATGTTAAAAAGAAATTTTGCGTTTAAAGAAATGCAAAAGTTGTGTTTTTCGCTACTTGCCTATAGGTTGCTACTTTTTTCGATGCACTTGTGACGCAAGTAAATTTCTTTGATTCTATTTAAGATTTTTGTTATTGAGTTTTACGTAAGTAAACGCGTTTGTCAGTGAAAACCCATGTATATTATTTAAAGTAGAAATTATTTTTCTAAAGAATATTGCCTTTCTCTTCCCAAGGATTTATTATATTTTCTATTTTTAATTTATTTAGAATGTTTGTCGGAAAAAACTTTATAAATATTAAGTTCCTAATGTTGAAGACTTATACTATAAAATCTAAATTACTTATTTTATTTTACTAGTTTAGTAGTGTAGCTTTATTGTTAGTTTGCATTTTACTAGTTTAGTAGTATGTAGTTGAAAATTTACCATCGTTTAGGCGCCAGCGTAACAAAAGAAGGACTCGATATCGTGCCCTTCGTACACGCGATCACGACAGCAAAGAAGACATTCTTCTTGTACCAAATGGAAAAGGTAGTCAAATATAAAAAACATTTGCAACATTGATACAAATCTTATAAAAACTCTCCTGAGTTTTTTTATTATTATTAAACTAGATTTTCTCTTTATGTTAGGCAAATATTCAGCGCAAAGTTTGACTTTTACAGAAACGGACGATGATTCCGAGGAAGAAACAACAGTTTTTGATAAAAAACGATTGCTAAACGGGAACAGTTTTACGTCGAATGGTGTTGCAAACGGAAAGCTTCCCAAACAAAGAGATCACGCTTTATAGCTTTTAAGATATGCCGTAATAAAGCGAGAAAAAATTAATTTTTCAAAAAAACTTCAAATGTAATAATTTTAACTAATTTTTTATAGTGCAGTATTTTAATCAAACAATCTGCTACGTATTATGCGACGTTGAAAATTATATTGTTTTTGTGAATTCCATAAGGGGTTGTTATAAGCATTTCAGAATACGCTCGTTATATATATATATATATATATATATATATATATATATATATATATATATATATTTGTATATATTATTATTGACTGATTGACTGACGGTTCAATTTTTGCTTATAATTTTGAAACTATGGAATTGCAGTATTCAGGGGTGTTCTTTTATTGTTAATTGTGATATTTAATCAAAAATATATTTATATATATATAAAATTTTGTAATAGAAAAAACATATTCTTTAAATAAATTTTTTGTTTGATTTGGAGTTGTTTGTGAAAAATATATTTATTTTTTTGACGAGCGTTTTATATTTAAACTAAGCGTTATTTTTATAGTTTCGCTTGATTAAATACGTTTTATTATTTACGCGTTGTTTTTTTGTTTTTTTTTTTTTTATGTTCTCCTAATTACATGCGTTCTTTTTATAGACATTCTTAATTTAAAACGTTAAAATTTTAAATACACTATTTTTACTCTTAATTATTAACTTTTTTGATTTTATAATTACACGTTGTTTTTTATTGCTCTTTATGCGAGCACAAACATTTACTTTGTTTATACACTAACGTTTAGTATTTCACTAACTCAACAAACATTTAAAAATATACAATAAAAGAAAAAAATGCAACTTATTTTTGGTTTACATTAATACCTTTCTCCCGGACATGAGGCACTTCTCTTGAAGTTCCTTCTAACAGTTGCCTCTCGCTTATTAAAATTTTTATTGTTTGAAATTTTAAACAAAGCACTGCATGTTTTTTGCATTAAATTTAAATTAGATCAGATCTACATAAAATCGTTCTTTTTCTTACATTCGCGTTAGTTTCGGCATTTTTTAGATGTCGATAAATGTTTTTATCCAAGAAAAAAATAAAATTATTAAAAAATCGAAGACAAATTTTTAAAATATTTATAATGCTTATGATAGAAGTTTTACAACACGATTACTTTAAATAATTTTATTATAGGTTTTATAATAGCTTATTTTATCTTTAAAGACAATAAATAATTAATAACTCGTGCATTTTGAATATAAGTGTCTCTATCTCTTGTTATTTGCAAATGCTTTTAGTCGCTTTATTATTAATTTGCTGATGTAAACATAAACAAAGTTTAAATCACTTTTGTATTGGAGTTTTTTTTCGAACTTTCGTAGTACTAAATCCGGAAATTTCTTTTATCGGTTGTTTTTTCTTTCTAGAATAATCGCGGTATAATAAAAAATTTACTTTATAAAGTAAAAATGTTCCGAAAATAATGAAATTTAACTTCACAACTTTGAAGGGGGTATATTTTGTCGTTAAAGTGAAAGTTGCTGGCACGTTTGTTTTATTTATATATGTATATGTACATAATAATATATAGCACCGTTAATAATAACTTATATAAAGATATTATAAATTATTTATAAAAACTTTCTAAATAATTCTTTAAAGTGTCAAAGTTAACGCTATTTAACCAATGATCCTGAGTATCTTTTTACTTAGGGAAAATCCCAAGTGTTACGATAATATTTTCTATCATTTGATTGGATAATAAAACAATTAGCCTAGAACCCAGCTGATTATAGATTTTGCTCAAATACAGCTCGAATCAAAACAAACTACACTCTGCAGTCGTTCTAACGATAAAGACTTCTCGCTTATAATAAATTTTAAAAATGTACAGAGTATTACTTATATCTGCTGTTGAAGGCATTGAGGCTGTCGAACAAGTTAACAATATATACAGGCATTTAAGCTACAGAGGAAATGATATAACACTTTTCGGTAATAATTTTTGGTGTTTTTTTTCTTGATGTTCGTTTTTTGCTTAGATTTGTTTTTATGATTATCTTTTTTTTACATAAATAAACTTAATACTGTTAAACGTTTTTTTATTTTTTTCAAATATATTTTATTTTTGCTTTATTTTTACACTTATTGCTTTATTTTTACATTAAAATGCTTAATTAAACTTACATTTAATGATTTATTTCTTCAATATGCTCTAAAATCCGCACGGTTAAAAAAAGTATACAAGTATATTTAGAATGCAAATATGGAACTATTAGAAAGATTTCAATTGCCTTTTTTTTTATTGGTTGTAAAATGTTTGAATTCTTTCCTTTTTTGTTTTTTTATATATTTGTTTTATTTTTTTAATTTGAACGTTTTTTTTCTTTCTAGACATAGCCCGTTTAAAGATGGATGACGAATATGTCCATCACATCGACACGTTTAAATCCCAAGTAATGGACGCGGCAGATGCAATTATTTTGGTTACCGACGAGTTTTGCGCTTCTTTAGTTCAAGACGTCCAGTCGTTGTTCACAACGCACAATAAATCAAAGCGTTCAAGCAATGTTTGGTACCACAACGGCGTTTGCTGCACAATACTTGGCGGCTCAATAAAAAACTCTGGTGTTGCGAAACAGTTGTGGGAAGTCTTTTCAAATCAACATATTTTAGATTTCACCGATCTTTTTCCTTATGGAAAAACAAAAACATATAATCTAGACTACACCAAAGAAACAGCGCAACCTGCCGTTGTATAGATTGTTTGGTCAATGACTGTAAATAGTGGGATATGTTTTTATGTACATAGTGTATGCAGTTTTTCTAATTTCTTTCTTAGTATCGAGAACTCATTGAACTTATCCTAAGACAGAAAGTTTTCTAAAAATCGCATTTCTTTATTGGTTCTTGTATGTTTATTGTATTCTTCAAACATTTGAAGAACACGATTTGTTTACTATAGACACAAAGTGTTAACTATTTTTTTCAAGTTTAAATTCTATTTATTTTTTTGTTTTTTTGTTTCTTTTTTTTTTTTTGTTTTTTTTTAGAAGGATAAAAAAAAAAAGAAAAAACATCCTAATATCCGTATTTTTCGGAATATTAATTTATATATTTTTTTGTATATTTATGTATATATATATATATATATATATTAGCTATATTTTTATAGTAAATAATTTCGAGCTCTTATAGAGAATTGTGTTATGTTTTAAATTTTATAAAAATGGCAATGACGTCAATATTATGTTTTTATGCGAAAATTTTTATTTCAATCTGTAAAGTAAAAATGAAAATGTAAGAAAAAAATTGTCTCAAAATTAAAACAATCACGTGTTTTTTATTAACTTATGTTGAGCAGAAATTTTCATACTATAAAGGGTACGAATTAGCGATGTTTTGGAGAAATATTAGTGGAGAGTTTAGATATATTTTTACATGTGAGCATGACTGTATAATCTTTACCGCCCGCCTCATTTACCTCATAAAATGGTTCTTTTACCTCATGAAGTTGGGTGTGCTTGGTTTTTCGAAATCAGCATTCTGGGTTTAAAAAATAAACGGTTTTCAAAATAAACGGTCTAGGTTTAAAAAAAAGTAATACCTTAAAGTAATAATAAAAAATTGTTCGTGACGTATAAATATTAATTTCGTGTAACCTATTTGTTTCAATAAATTTTACTTTATTGGCAAATTTAACCAATAAACTTGTTTTTTTTTTATATACACTTTTGATAACCAAGTAACATGTCGCCAAAATGGATCTGTCTTTGTTTTGATAGTTTCGCATAGTAAAATTGGAAAGGAAAGTCTCTAAACTTTTAACTGAATTTGATCATTATCATCAAATGACAGTTATTGTTAGTAAATGGTGATTTGATTGGCGTAATGGTCGGTGGATCATTTTGATTGGTTGTTGTGACTTGTGAATTGCAACTAATGTACTACTTGGTGGTAGTTATGTTAAATAATATTTTATGGGTTTAATTTGAGGCAATTTTGTGATTGCACCGAGGTCATGGGTTTTATTTGGTTGCTTGCAGGGTAGTCAGATTCAAAACATTCTCTCTCCTTTTTTTCTAGTTGTTTCTAAACATGGTCGATTCGACAGGTTTCCTAATATTTTGGATTATATTGTCATTGAAATTGCAAGATTTTCATACTTTTTCAAACTGTTTCCGAATTGATAATCGAGTCAGAAATTCATAAGTTATGTCTTATAGTTTGATTTGGTATGCTATTGGCATTTTTAAAGAAACTATGAGCTCACACACAATGTACTTTATGAACTTTTCAATAAAATTAAATAATATGGAACTAGTACCAATTGAGAATTTTTCTGCTAAAATGTCTTTTACGTTCTTTTTTACTTTTGTCAATAGTTTTGTCAATTGCAGCGGATTTTAAATAGGGATTTTTCTATTTTATATATATTAACTACGTCATTTATTATTATTTAATATTTCCGATTTTAGAGCTTTAAATTCATCGTTTTTAGTTTTATAATTACGGATTCTTAAACGAATTGCGTCAGTAAGCAAGCAAGTTATAAAATAATTATTATGAAAAAATGAATAACAAAGATAGAGAATATTTGTGAGGCGGTTTCTTAGGCGTTTCTTTTAATAATACTGCATTTAAATTTAATTATCAAGTGTTTTTCTCGGGTTTTAAAGCATTTTTATACAAAGTTTCATTTGATTTGATTTTGCGCAAGTTAAATATTTTTAAAGAATTATTGCTTGTTCATTATATCATATGTATATATGTGTGTGTGTGTATATATATATATATATATATATATATATATATATATATATATATATATATATATATATATATATATATATATATATATATATATATATATATATATATATATATATATATATATATATATATATATATATATATACATATATATATATATGTATATATATATATATATATATATATATATATATATATATATATATATATATATATATATATATATATAATAAAAGATAAATAAAGTAAAAGCGAGCGTAAAAATGTTGCTTGACGCTATATTATTTTATAACAAAATCGAATATTAACCGCTACTCCTAGCTTGAATTGACACAGAATACACATTTAAAGCAAACATGTTTTATTAAGATTTTTCACAGTTATGTGTTGGAAAAATGAAAAAAGAATTCAGCAAGAATTCTTTGATTTATAAATAAACGAACATTTATATTAAAAGTAAATTTTTTGAAGTAGAAATTTTTTGAAGTAGAAATAAGCAGAAGTGAAAATTGTTTAATTAGGATCATGTTTTTATTTTTGGATAATAACAATAAAATTTTTAATGTTGTCTACGAGTTTAAAAAGTTTAATTTTATTTGACTATAATATAAATATTTTCTTCATTTTATTATCATAAACAGTGCGTAAATTGAAAAAAAATGAATTGAACGCTCTAAAGCAGATCCATAATTAGTAATTCCCAACCTGTGATGATGATTCATAGTTAGTAACCCCCAACCTCTGATGATGTTTTCGTTTTTTTCCCCAAGCACTGTACCAATATATGGCTGACAATGACCAATTTAACGCTTAGCTGAGTTGCTTTTTTTGTGGAATAGAAGGAATAAAAGACGAATAAACTATAACTTGGAGACAAACAAACAATTACGTAGAAAGAGTTAACAATACCTTTTTACAAAACATTTGTCGTCATTGAAAAAATAATATTGGCTACTAAGTTCACTCAATTGACATCATTAAAGAATACGACCAACTGTTAAGTTTACATTATCGATAAAGCTCAACACGTTCATTTGCTATTTATTTTTAATCTAGACTTTTTTTTTCATTTTAAAAAAATAAAGGATAACTTATAATTATAAAATAAACAAATTAATATTATGTGTAAATTATTTCACGAAATGCAAGAAAAGTTTTATCAGTCGTATTTAAAACTTACAAACAACATTCTACGGACGTCATACGTACGAAAATTAATGACAAATGTTTTTTACTCGCTTAATAATGTTTGCTAAGAGAATCTTTTTCTGAATTTTTGTTATTTCTAATTTTTTACTCTTAAAATATTGAGTTATTTTGAATCTTCTGCAACTTATTTTTAATTTAATTTAAAGTTAAATATTTTCAAAACACGTATTGTAAAGTAAAATATAGAATATAAGTTATTTGCACAAACGATTAAAATTTGGTGTGAAAATCAGCAGTTGATTTCATTTGTAGAAACAAAATTATTCACAATGTTGGTCAAGTTGACTTTGGGCTGTGTCGATGCGCTGCATAGAAATGTTTTGATGAAACCTGGTGAGTACTAACCTGGTGAGTAACTCACCAGGTTTCATGGATCATTAAAGTTATACAGCTGAACATTTTTTGTGTGACAATTTTGGCGCTGACCCGGGGCCCTTTTTAATCTATTCAAATTTATAATTTTTTCCGATTTAGATGTACTCATACTCGGTGTGGTTAGGGAACTTTTAAAATATTCTAGCGTCTGTATGATATTTTGTTGACTAGGACATATTTCCGTTAAATGGTCAGGTCTGTGACTTATGAAAAGACGAAAAATATAAAAATGATAAATTTTGCTTTATCATAAAATATGTTTGTTGCGGAAAAACCCAGATCAAAGATTTTTTTTAAATTATCTTAAAATCACAATCGCTCATCCAAATTTGAATAAGATTTTATATTAATACGTTTTTTTATGTGAAATGAACATTATAGTTTAACAATATGATCTATTCTGATCGTTTATTGGCAATATTTCATAATTATAAGTTATTTCTTGGTCGGAATTCTAGTATTTTTTGTGAAAATTGATAGAAATATTGTGTTTTGACAACTATATTTAGTTAATATACGTCAGAACCGATTAGAACTAGGATCAATAGTGAATTAAGGAACTCTTTCAAAAGATTTTAACTCAATTCATGTTAACGCCGATGAGCGGAATTGATCTAAAGATTTCAAAATAGTGTTCTTTAGATTCACTATTACGGGAAGTAAAAAGGTTTTGAAAATTATGTAAAAAAGAAAAGTTTCTTTAAATATTAAAAAAACCTGAAGCAAAAAAAAATTATACCATCTAAAGCTTTTGTTTGGACATAATACGCTGATAAAACCATGCTAATCCCAAACAAAAGTATTCCAATAATTTTGTAAATCACCTTAACTACACCGAGTAGTAGTTAAGGTGCTTTGCAGTGAGTGGGTTATTTGTTTAAATTATCAAGATCTTTCCGTTAAACATCTGGTCTGTAAGATAAACGATTAGATTGTTTTAAGAAATAACGCCAAAATCTAACTGTGGACTGCAAGCAGTCTCTTAAGATTTATTTAAAATGTAATTTTTATTTTTTTATTTTTTTTGTTTTTTAATCTTTACAAATTATTAATATATAATAGAAACGTTTACAGAGTATAGTAAAATTTAAAAAAATCACAAAGTTCCGTTATACAAAAAATATATAAAATAAAAGTGTAAATTATTAGAAATTACTTTAAAAAACGCGTGAAATTTGCAAAAGACCGATGGTCTTGCATGGCCTACTTAATTTACTTATTAATTTTCTTATCAATTTTTGTAATTTAGGTAGACCATGGGTCTTATCATCAAGAAACCGATATGCGTTACTTATACTTTTGGATACTTCAATTTAAAATAAGTTTATATTTAAAAGATAATGTTATCAGTTTCAACAGAATAAAAAAAAAAGTAAAATGCAAAAACAAAGATTGCAGGCAAAAATAAGTTTTTAACTTTCTAATTTTATTTTAATACACATAAATATGAGTAGGTACACGAATTGTTAAATACGTAATATATAGTCGTTCACGTGTTGATAAATAAGCCTATTATTTATTATTAGTTTTTTGTTGTTGTTGTTATTGTTTTTGAGTTATTTATCAAGATTTTATGTTATATGATTCAATATAATATAATTGTGGTATATTATGAAATCCTAACTTTAGCTTAAGTTTCTAGACCGTTGAA